TTCAAGTCTGTCCGTTCGATGTTCGCGATGTCTGCGAGATTGATAACGCTTTGGTGTTGTGCCGATGTCTGATTGCAGAGTCAGTACGCGATAGCCGAGCATTGGGGGACGAAGGGATTTGCGCGAGTGCCATCGATGCGAGGGCACGCTGCCCGAGGCGAGAAACGCAGGTGCTCACCTCGTTCTTATGGATGGAGAGCGTCTGTTCCTTCAATACCAACCACTTTGGTCGCCACAGCCAACTGACGAGACCATCCTCCTTGACGGCGACGACACCACTGCGGACAACATGCATGGAATCCATGTCAGAATTGCGGTTTGGCGATCCCCCGATGCCTGAATACGAGGAGGCATAAGAGGAGCCGGATGGGGAGGATGTACCAACGGAGAAAGCTGATGCATAGCCTGAAGATGCAAGTGCACTGCCGACATCAGGAGCGCGTCGGAGAGGTGCAGCTGGTGCAGGTCGCGAGGGTGTCAAAGATGTCGCTGTCACTTGGTTGAAAGCCATGGCGGGAGTAGATGAGCCGCGAACAGGGAACCGCCAAGTCAGATCAGGTCGTCAGGAGGGGTCGTAAGGGTAAAGTGCGGGCACAACGCAAGGCAGGGCGAGGTCGCTGTGGCCTGCGGCGAGGAGAGCAAGTGGCAAGGATGAAGCTGAGCAGGGCCCGCTCACAAGGCGCTGCTCCCGCTCGGATCTAGCCGGCCCTCTCTCTGAATTGTCACGGCAACCAACTTGGTAGATTTCTCCAATCATTCATCTCTTACTGACTCTGACAAAACGCTTCGCCGTGCTCAGTTTCAGCCGCACACACATTATCGGTGCTCCAAGGGTCCGTTTCACCGTTACAATTTATTAACGGCACCCCGGCGTCATAATTAAAGGCTCTCGGCAGATCCCTGTCAGCTTCGAAGATAGCGCTTTCATATCGCGAGCATACGCCTGTTTCTTCTTGCACAAATTACGCAGATGAGAGCAGACCTCTTAAATACTGTTATATGTCGGTCACTGCCAGGTGGAGTGTAGGAATGCCGGGCCCGACGCAGTCTCTGTTTGCGCGGGTCAAAGGCCGACCGGCCGTGAGGTGCAACGGAAGTCGACCAGACCTGCCATCTCGCTTGGGGTGAAGATCGCATGCAAAGCGGAGAGAGTGGACCGATCCCGAATACGTGTTGTACCAAGGGTGCATCGTGTCTGGGAGTACAGAATAACCAACCGGCAGGTCAATTCCAATTCCAGAAATGAGCGAAGGAGCTAAGGTGTCGTGAAGGTGCCGAGCAACGAAGAAAAGGCCGAAGAGGCCGCTGAGGTCACTAAGCTGACTTTGTTTAATACGTTTCAACGTGGCCTCCACGAAGATGGCAACATAGAGGAGGCAGAGAGGCGGCACACCTATGTGTAGGGGACGAGAGGAACAGCAGTAAGCAAATTGAGGGGCGGGCGGCTACATATGCTCGGGTCTGAAAAAATATAGGGTGTCAGCTTCTTTGAGAACCTCGGGAAATTAATGCATTTCATCCATCCACCTTCGAGAAAAGTCAAACTTCCCATAAGGTACACACCGTAAAAAAATTCATTCAAAATCTTCGAGCTAGTAACCCGTCAGCCTTGAAGAGGGGCATATCAGTCCGCTGTGGGTATTGGCACAATGCGGAGCGCGCGCCTTACACAAAGTCGAGGCTGTAGATGTGATCGCAGGCACAGTCGGTCCCTGAGCGGTGCCCATCGAGCGCCAGGACCGCCGATGCTGACGAGATGATGTATTGTACGTAAGCCCCCGCGTGGGGAGCCAAAGGCCCAGAACTAGTTGAGGCCCTACCAGAGCCCGGCCGAACTCGTGCTCGTGCCGAATATAGGGCGGGGCGCGTCGGGGGGTGTGCGCGACGGCGGCGGCATGATCGATCACACATCTTCGTGCACGTAGGCTTTGTCCATGGGCGCAGTTATAAACAATAAGACCCACGCTAGCACATCTGGACGGCCGGAATTCTCTGAAATGCTGTGATGTGACTATCTCGATGCTTGACAAGGCGCATAGGCCCGAAAATGATAGTCTGAGGGGATATTCTGCCTTGTTATCCTGTCCACCTGATCCTTGAGGCTGACAGGTCAAAGCGGACGGGGGTGGCCAAGTCGATATCCACGTCTAGATATAGTCTAGAGAACAATGGCCAGAGTATATCGTGGTCCCCGCCTCCTAGGTGCGGCCATAGCAGGAGACGTACCTACAGATCCTTCATCCAGCCAAAGCAAATCTAACCCACATGGAACATAGCGAACACGCCCCTATCCTCAACAGCCACAATCGGAAGGCATAAATACTGCAGACTCGAGCAAGGTTCAGCAGCGACTCGACTACTCAGAGAACTGCCAACCTTCGAAATCTTGAACTTCACTTTGCTTTCAAATTCATAATGGACGCGTTCTTCCCCATTGCGTACCCTGTTCCGGCCGAGGAGACTGAGGAGACCTTCGTCAACTATGACACTGGCAGCGGTGCCTCCAACACCAGCTGCATCGTAGCCTGAGCACAAACGCTTTCCTGGTATGTCAAAAAAGATTCGCCATCCCTTATCTACCCGAGGTGCACTGACGAGTAATCTGCTACAGATTGGCAGCGCGGAGCGTCGTATTCGATCCTCTCCTCGCGCTCACTCTCGTAATTTTTGTTTCGTAATTTTTGTGATGTATTCGCAGAGAAGGACTGTGCGTGGCAGACATTGGAGGAGGATAGGAAGCGCATTTCCATCACGTATTGCTACCGTTTGGTTATTGGACGATTTTTTGAATTGTGATGTCTTGAAAATAACAGTAAGAGTTGGTGAAAAGGACCCGATAAGAACTTAGCACCCACCGCGAGAGTCCAAGGGTAGAAAACTACCTCCAACCTTCTTGATCCACAGGATCACGCGAAAGGTTTGGGCCCATATTTACTTCCAACATGGGACAATGCGCATTTAGTCGACACGAACAGGAAATTTTCGTCCTAACCTCATCACGTACTCAGCAGGCGCGACAAATCAGATGATGCAAATAAATCATCCGACGCATAAGACATAATGCACAGAGAGGGGCATCCGCTGCAAGCCTGCAAGCTGCAGCTCTTCGCTTGTAGCATACGGGATTTCGGAACGCTCCCAAACACGTGTCGTACAAAGGAACGGTGCATCATGCATGATGCCCAGAAAACGTGTCGTGAAAATCCTTCTCGCAAGTATGCGGTCATGAAGATAAGGATCGTTTTCCATCTCTGCGAGAGGGACGTGAGGCAAGCAGCTTGATTGAGTGAGATGAGAATTCTGTAAAATTATATGGCTCACGTACACTGTAATTTCAGCGACATCCACTGCTCAAAAACAGCCTGAGGGCCTGCGATTGTTAAGGTTCCCGAACAAAAAATGATAGCGCAGTGATCAGTCATCGTAGTACTAATCCTTGGTTCTTCGTGCGCGCTCATCACTCATACATTAGCATGAGCGGCGAGGCGACGACGCCGACAAGTTAACTTGGCGTACTCAAATTAGGTCACGTGATCAGCGGATGGTAACGAGGTCCACATCCCAGCAGTTACACGGAGAATGTTAGGACGATGCACAATCGACATGACTGATAATATAGCGCTTGTGACAGTTCTTCTCGAATCCCGACTCCCAGGATCCTGGCTGAATAGTAAGACTCACTGTGAGGCTCCTCCGGTCTAACCTTTCAGAGAGAACTATACCTTGATAGCGCAAATGTTTCTCATTGCCTGGTTTCATCGTTCACATGTTTTGACAGGGTTCGCCCCACGGATAGTATAACACCCAAAGTCACGGCATTCTGTATGAGACATGCTCAAGCTTCTGCAAGATTTGATTAGATGTTTCAGGTACGACAGCCAGGGATAATGGGTGGGCAGCATCCCGCCCAAATCAAGCATACAATGGGGGAACAATAGGGAGTCAACGCGGGCTCGATTGTTACCATCAGCCGATTCGCGGGCAAGCGACACACACGCACCGACTTAGCCGTCCCCTCGTCCATCTGCACATCTAATCCCAGTTGACGCGGCACGTCTCGCGTCCTCTGATTACCATGCTTTCACTTTATCATCCTGGTGAGAGAGGAGTATAAAACTGGTGTGGGACGTCAAGGGACGGCAACTACGTCGCTCAGACGCATCTGACTGCCTTCAGCTCAGGCGTCCAAATTCCAGGCTGCTCCCGCCATCGTCTCTATCTCGCTTATACAGCATGGACGCCTTCTTCAATATGTCGGCCCCTGTCCCTAGTCAGACAGACGATGCCGACCAGTTGCTGGTCAACTTTGATACTGGAAAAGGCGCGACCAATACATGGTGCATCATTGCCTGAGCGAGGTTCACTGTGCATGCACCAGTTCGTCAGGCAAGCCCACAACTTCACTCACCTCCGATGGCGCTTGCGCTGACGCAATAGTGGACACAGGAGCGAGAGCATACGTATCAACTTTTGGCCATTGGGTTCCTGTCGTTCATCGTCGTCGAGTGCCGACGCTCGCACCGGGCACTGTGTGCCATTGGTTGTTCGCTATTTTCGTTCATGAGTTTTTCGAATATCCTCTAGATGAGTTAGAGTTGGTTGACGAAGTATATGAAGATTTTGGGGCACCACGACGTGGGGATACACCGAGGGTTCCGTAGAATCAACGAATGTGATGATTGTAACGCTCTACGTCGATTTGAGCAATACTGTTCGTCTTGTCTCGCAGGCCGGGAGTTCTAATCTTTACGCAATGCAACCGGCACGGAAGGTTCTATAGTGTGAGAGAGGGTGTCACTTGCGATGATGCCATGCGAAAGCTCACCGAACGACATATGATCGCGAACAGCGCCACTTATTAGGATTCGCCCCGCTCAAACGACTGAGGCTCCGTTTGGATATTTCGGATATTTGGCATGAATGCAAAATGGAGGTTTAAATGCAGAAAGAATAGCGACAATTGGTGATTAATATATCGAATGTATACGGATAGCGCGTGTCTACTTGTTCTTTGTGGCCCTTTGGAACGTATGCAGTCAGTAGATTACATTTGCGCATGAGAATGTGCACATACCTGTAAGTAAAACGCTTTTTCGTTATCGAGAACTCGCCCAACTTGTGGCCCACCATATCCTGCGTCACCACCACCGGGACGTAGTCCTTGCCATTGTGGACGAGGAACCGCAATCTAATAATTGAACAAAAATTCAAAAACCGCAAAAACGCGTACGCGACGGCTTGCATCGTACCCGACGAAATTTGGCAGGATGGTGCATGAGCGTGCCTGGGTTTGGATAGGCACATTATTCTCTAGAGCATGGCGGAGGTTGGGAAAGGCGACAAAGAATGGGCCTTTGGAACGGTGAGTTCAATATGAATCTGGGATATCTCATCCTCACCCTTCCACGCTGAGCGGCCAGATTGGACGATCGCTGTTGGGAGCATAGCAGTGCGGCGTGCGTCTTGGCGCCTTCGGACTGGAGCCTCGCTGGTCGCGTGAACGGAATCATCCGGAGCGCGTGAGTATCTGTCGGCACTCACCGACTCACCGAAGCTTAGGCCTCTTTCCGCGATCCAACACCCTCGCGCACCCTCTTAAATCCTTTCAGCTTCGTTTTGGACTTTTAATTACATCTGTGAAGCTTTATTTGAAAAGTAAGCCACCTGGGACGGTAGGATGCCAATGCCAGACTCATCGGGGGCGAGTTAATACCTTCTAGCTATGGGATCATAATCGAACTTCGAACTAAAACGTATTTGTTCAGCTGGGCTCAGCATCCCGAGGTAACGAACCCAAGTCACTGCCTGCTGAGACATGGGATCATATTTTGGATCACCTCTGGGACGATCAGAGTGCTCTCGCAGCCTGCAAGCTTGTCTGCCGTGCTTTTGTATCAACTTGCCGTTTTCATATGTTCAACGATACAACGATCACGGGACTACAACAATATACTGCCTTTGAACAACTGATTCAAGAATCCCCCCATCTCGTACCATTTATGTGCCATCTTACCCTCATCGGAGAGTTTGCAGATTTAGAGGCTGGCAAGCAACACTATGATATGCTCGGAATCTTGCCAGTTCTGCGGAGTGTTGAGAGCCTCATCATCAAACACTGGACTATCAAGCAGTGGTGGACAATTCCGGATATTGCTTCATCCAACATAACGGCTATTCGACTCGTTCGCTGCGGTTTAGACACGGCATCCTGTGGCAGCTTGATTTCATTGTTCCCCATGCTTTCCTCTTTACATCTTTTGGGTTCCAGTTGTTCGTTAGCCATGATATCGTTGCGGATGTCCCTTTCGGATGTCTCCGTTCACGACTGGATTCTGTCAGACCGGTGCTTCGTCTCCGCACCCTGGTCTTTGATAACTCTGCAAGCCAATTACTCGTCGACTGGCTCATGGAAGAAACCATCATGTTAGGGCTCGAATCTCTTGAATTTTGGGATACCCCGAAGACCTTTTTCCAGTACATCTCAGGACTTCCTAAAATAATAGGCAGACAGCTGAAATTTCTTTCCTTACTATCTGTCACGTGGTTTCCATCCTTCGTTCAATGGCCAGATGGTGAGCACTTGCTTGGTCCGTAATTTAATGTCTAAACTGAGTGGCTGGCAGTCTCCGTTCTTGTCTTCACAACGCTACGCACGTTGCAGGTAGGGAATCTGACCCTAAGTCCGCGTCCAGGATGCGCGCACGTTTACCTATGGGTGTACTCTATTCTATCGAACATTCGGGCGCCTGAGCTCAAACGGATTGAGCTTCACGTTGGATCCATGGATGATATTGGAGATTACAACAACTACAACATGGTAGACTGGGAGGAGATTGATCGGAGTCTTGCTCGTTTAGCGCGTGATTGTGCTGCGAGACTGGTCGTCAGTATTCATGTCGGCTTTCAGAGTGTTTGGACAAATTGGGAGGAGACGAAGGTCGCGATATCAGAACAACTGCCAACATTTCGTTCTGGAGCAGGAGCTTTGGAGTTTGTTAAGGGCGTTCGTTCGGACCTCTCTACAGTGAGCAACTTTGCTTCGGAGTCGGATTTTGGTATCATTTGGGACACGGAGATGGAGGAAGATTACGAGGACGATTAGACAGGTTCGGACTGATAATGATCGATCAACTCGCAAGTCCATCAACGAAGTAAAGGCTACAGTTTTTGTATACATACGTATTACACTAAGATGAGGTTCAAATTCTTTACTCTACCCATTGTGGTTAGCTATGTAGACGACATAGCCTTTTCATGAATGTTGGGACATGTCCGAGGAGGACGAGACCAAATGCTGATAATACATGCTTTCTGACTCGTAGTACTTGAAAAATTTGGATAAAAACGTGCATAATGCTTGACGAGTGGTGGCAAGTTGTTGGCCTATAGTTGTAAGAGGTCGTCTCGCCCTCGCCACTCATCGCTGCTCAAATCTTGCCGGAACATGTTTATTTCCTTCAGGTTCGGACTCCAACTTACGACCAATGGTGGTCGCTGCTGATATATGCATCGAGGGACTGTTGTTGACTGGCGGTTCATCAGAACAGCGATCGGTCAATGCATTACTATGAGTAATTATAATAAAGAGATGGGAAAAGGGAAATGTCTGAGGGTGGAATGACAAGCATGGCAAGTTGGCAACTGTACGCACTTGCATTGAACTTGCCGTCCGAGGCTGTGACCGTAAACAGAAGTCACCATGATGTAGTTTATCCGACATGTATCCGGCGTTCGCTCATCCTCGCAGAGGACTGCCGTCAACATTTTCGACAACAACTGAGCCTCTTTGGCCCCCGATGTCCCATACACTCTGATTTCTGGGAATCTCACCATGCAGACTCTCGCTGCGTTCAAGCCCCCTCTTGCGATGAAGCAGACGTCTGTAGATCCGGCTCGGGCTTCAGTGAAGCACCTGCTCACCAGGGCATACTCACTGCCGTGCTCGACGGCGACGCACGCATTCAATCAGCTCGTGCAGTCCACTTCTCGCTTTCAGGTTGCTTTGGATGTATTGTTACCGATTCTAGACACTCCTGCTGAAGTAAAAGTTTTCCGAGCCATTCCCTATGCAGATCATATTGACCCCTTTGCCACGATAGCTCACGCAACGCATTCTCGTCTCATATTTATTGTACTCACTATATGCACCACACCCGATATCCATTAATCCGTTCCAATCAGCCTTGCATGCATCATTCGTCAAGGAGCGCGACCTTGCCATGAGAGTCGCCAGCGAGGGTGGCGTCAGCGAAAACGAACAACTTGTGTGGGTCTTATGGAAGATTTTGAAAGGAGATGGAAGCGACGTACGTGCTCTATTCAACCCGAACTACCCAGAAGGTGGAAGCAATCCCTGCATAGATTGGACCTTTCTCGCCTGCGACACTTACGCGGTCACCGCTGCCACCCAAACTCAGGGCGGCCAACTTGACTCTAGAAGAGGGACCCATCTCGGAGCGCAACAAATTTGATCCGTGAGTTAGCAATATCCGTCATGTGCGAATATAGGCTCAAGTGCGATGCTGGCAGTTTCGGCGATGATGATCCCAGCCTAGTCTCACCGATTACCACAGAACGCGATCAAGAGATGCAGAAGCTGTCAGAAGCCATGACATTGTTACTCGCCGCGCGCGAGCGAGTATTAACGCTTTCTGAGCAGCGCGTACGCGTATTCGTTCTCTCCTCTTGCACACATTGCCATTTACCCTTGTCTTTTGTCTTTCGATTCAGATATTGCTGCCTGTAATTCCGCGACTAACATCGCCATCCGTAATAACCTCTGTGGATCTGCCACCTTTAATTGCCAACAATCCCCCTCTGGCACAGCCACTCGTGGTGGCGCTGATGTCGTCGGCCAGAACAGCTGGTCAAGGGTTGGAACTGTGTTTGGATGTGCTCAGGCGCCTTCCTCCGACGCTGCCTTCGATTGATCTCCTGGGTCGTCTTCTTCGTGATCCTACTACCGTTGAGGATGTTGTTACAGGTGGCAAAACGACCATTGCCGATCTCGTGCGCACGGAAGTTTTGGGCTGGTTTATTCACAACTGTATCTCCTGGCTGGACAAGGCCGAGCAAGACGAGCGCGAGGGCAACATAAGCGATGACCGATTCGCGAAAGGTGTGCAGAACGTGAGTTCTTTGTTATGTTTTATGTGACCCTCTAATAGAGCTTGTCGATGTCTTGATATCGTCTTTTGCTATAATGCATGCCCGATATGAATCCTAGCTCTGTCGATTCTATAACTCACTCATCAAATTTTCGGTTGTCGATCCCACATCTGACGCTGACTCGGCCGAGATGGCACATTTCACACTGCGCAATGCGCGTTTTGAAGAGGCTAATGCGCTATACCGGGTCTTGGTTATGGGCAAGTTCTGATCGCTCTGTATGTGTGTTTCTCATACGTTTCGTATATGGTATTTTATGCACCTAGGCTAGTAATCCACTGACTGTCAACATCGATACGACGACTTATGCTCTGTGTTTTATGCCGTACAGTGTCCTCTGCCGCGTGTATGATTTCCACTTACTGTATCCTTTTAAGTTACTCCGTCCTTAGATTGTGTACATTTGAAAAAAGATTTGTCAAGTCGTGATTTATCTATATTTGAGGCATGAGAATATGCTTGAAGTATCACATGCAAGTAGGCGCAGATTGGTTGTTCAAGCTTTTTTTGCGCGCGGAACTGGAAGGAGCTTGTTCCAGGATTGTTTGTTTCTGCTCTGGTATGTGACTTAATGGGCTGCTAACATGTCCAATGAACACCATTAGTAATTCTGAAGGGCCATCCACGTCTCAAACTAGCTCCCACAATGTCCTTGATGAAATTGACCGTCTGGCGTCACCTCTAGGCAGCATCCAGTCTTGAATGTCCATTCAACGTTCATCCCCTTCTACCTTCCTCTTCGCAGCTTAATACATCATTATTACACACCCTTTCCGTCCGGGTTTAAACTTTTAGGGATTACATCATTCAGATGGTAGCAGTGGCTGGGGCCTGAGGGAGAGCCGTCTCGCTTGCAGATCAGATGGATCGGTCCGCGCTTGCCACCACAAAAAGAGATCTAAGATTGCAATTCGGCCCGTGTGGTACCTGAGACAGAATCACGCCAGGAAGCAGCGAGGCCCATGCCGGGGCTGCGTAGGGCTGCGTCCGGTCTGTACATAACAATAAGGTAGGTCTCTCAGAGTCAGCGGGAGGTAATTACACAGATGGCGGAGATGAAAGCACATGTACCAGAATGTTTCGGATGCTACTTTGAGCCATTCATGACTGCAATCATGCTCCCGCAGTTTGCAGATGTTCGCATCGGATGAGCGTGGAGCATTCAGAGAGATATGTCGCATGCAATACCGGCTTGCGGCTGTAATGGCCCACGAATGTCTGTTGACGCCGCAGTAATTGCTTACTCTCATGTGGCACACGGCCCAGTGCCAGATATATTTTGTCCATTGATGAGCAACCGAGAGAGCAGCTTGAAGGACGGGTCGCATATCGTGATATCTGCAAAACAATAAGGATGCATTTGACCTGCATAGCCCACTAGAACTTACTCAGAATATCCACATCGGGTGGGACTTCTCATGAAAGCCTAGCGCTGCGCCACACCGACTTGTTATTGTCTTCGCCACGGGGCATGGGCCGACATGAAGGAGTATAAAACCTGGAGAGGAGCAGAAGCCACTCAGCGAGACGGTCACCTTCCATTTTCCGCTTCTTCGACTTCGCCATCCTCCACATCCTGCAATGGACGCGCTCTTCCCCATCGCACCGCCCATCTACGTCGAGGAGGCCGAGCAGGTCCCTTCTGACTACGAAACCACCAACCCGACGAATACGTCCTGCGTCATCTGCTGATTGCACGCCGAGCTTTGGCTTACCTGGTATGTCGACGACAGTGGTGGGGCGCAACCAGTATTCTGATCCAACATCGTGTGACAGGACTGTACCATTCACTCAGTTTTCACGACGCCCACTTTCGATTTGGCGCACCGTATTATTGATTAAATTCGTTCCATTAATTCTAATTTATCCATTGGCATGCGTGGGGACGGATGTAGGAGTGGAGGACGGATGTAGGAGTAGAGGGCGAGTTGATGAGGGCGAGAGACGAAAGGGCCGATCGAGTTGAATGGCGTTATGATTTTATTTTGGGCAATACCAGCCAATACAATTATGAGCATCACATTGGATCGCAGTCAGTAAGCATGAACAACGAAGTAAAAGAACCTTTTACGCACGAAAAAAAAGGTCCATAAAACCCGGACGCTTGATCATAAATAAATCAACATTTGTGTCCGTATCCCCCCCCCACCCCCCACACACACGCAAAACCATCACAGGTGACAGCCACATAACCTTGCACGCTCTACGGAAATATGCTATAGGTTATTTTTTTCTGCGAAAAAGGTCCCCGTGCTTTGATCATTACGCATCGCTGCAAGTCCCTGAATCGTATGAACGCGTAGCCTTAACACTTTCCTGAGCAGTGACTCATGTAAAAGTTGACATGAATACGGCGAATGGAACTATGATCTCACCTCCGCAAATGCTGTATTAGCCAAGGGGGCGGAACAACAACGTTTCGCCATTTGTGAAAAGTCAATGGGCTGCCTGAGGGCCCGCCTCAACCAGCCCTTTCCGGCGCGTCGATCACCAACAGCCAACAGCTCAGCTTAATCAGCGACCAAGATCATCGCTCCATTGTTGAGTCTGGAATACAAAGGAAGCAGGACAAGGCAGAAGTTCTGCGAGTAGAAGACAAAGGATCTACGGCGCAAGACATGAGCATAAATAGGGCGGAAGCACGTCCGCAGTCTGCCACTCTGAATCCACTCCTTCACCATTCTCAGAAAAACGCATGCATCACGACCAGCAATCAGCGCGGATGGTTTCGCCGTTCGTGCTGACCGTTCCGATCTGCACGAGCGTCGAGACCTTCTTAGCGATAGGAAGTGAATACATAGCGAACAGGAGTCACATGTACGGAGCATTTTCTTGTCGCATAGAGTGAGTCAACTGACCCAGTAATGTACCGTAGACACTGATGTGATCCGGATATGTCCACCGGGGAGGCGGTTGTCATGAATGCTTCAACTCTGCGCGCGTAGGGAGAACCAGAAAGCGACGAGAGCCAAAGCAACAGCGCAAATGCACTCTATTACAGTGCGGGATATGCGACTAAATTCGCGCGAGACGTCGGTGAGTGATTAGGCATCGGATCACCGAGCTGAGACGAAGAATCAACCTCCTCAGCTGACCATCATGAATACAGGTCCAATCGACAATGCAGTTTTGAGTTCAGTATATATGAAACTTTAGGGAAAATGTGACTCACCAATAACCATGGATGCACTCAAAAGCAGGCGGACTGTGCCACTGGGTTGCAGTAATGCACGAATACACGCATATTCTCTTCTCGTAGCCGATCTGAAGGTGCCACATATCGCATCCAAAAACCAACAAATGAGAATGGTCTTGCAGGAACTAGGTCCTGTATGAGCTAGAGGTCAATGGTATGCACTCATGCTGAACGGTCAGCGTGGACTGACCTTGCCCGGCATCGATGAAAAAGACGACGTTAGAGGCAACGAACTTTGTTAGTGCGTGCGAATCTCCCCCCTCATATCGTCCAACGTATCGAGACGGTACGGTATAGTCACTGAAATGATTTTTTTAAAAACAATGAAATGAGCTGTGTTCATCCCAAGCTTCGTGGAATGAAAGCACTCACCATGTCAGCCACGGCAGGTCTACCACAATTGATCATCGTGAGCGACGTCTACCATCTCCTTTGAATGCGCGTGGCATTCGATGGGTTGAGAAAGTCGACTATTGGCGGCTGAACATCGCAAGAAAAACCACGACACAGTCGTGGTGGATGAGGAAGATAAGAGCGCGGGGTCCGATGATGTTTCAAGGTCGCCGGCTTGATCTGATCCGAGTGTGGCTTTCAGCTCCGCACGAGACTCGGCCCAGCACTCAGCAGAGTCAGCGCAAGTTGTTCCTGGCAGCAATCAAGTACGCGCCTCCGGCCTCGCTCGACCATTCAGAAAGTTCTTAACGTGTATACTGAGTCCGCGACAACACCCGACCAACTTACTCCCTCGTGCTCGCATTTGTTGTAACCTGACCATGTCACCGTTTGGGTCCGAGTGCCAATGGCTAAATTCGAGCAGGACGATCATACGACGCTGACAACAAACGGTACACGAAGCTCTGGCACGGCCGAGTGACGATTCCTGCTCGCGCCCGAACTAACACACACATGCTCGGCAAAGAATACCTCACACGTAGACCCGCATTTCTCTTTCTGAAACTGACCCACCCAGAGCGGAGAAGGAGAAGATTACCCTCCGTCGTGCTCATGCTTATGGTGTCCTCTCCGGAATCGACAACTTCGTTTTTCGGTGGGATCGCATCTCGGGTTGATGTTCAGGATAGGAAGGTCAATACCGGCACAAGCATGTTCATCTGGCGCACTACGCTCGAGAGTGATTCGAGATGGGCGGATGAGCAGACAAGTCGTGTTGCCGTAGTTCCTGTCCTCGATGCAGTGCCATTAACCTACATGATTACGCTACATAGTACGCAGCTTTAAATAGTTGTCTACACTCATTCCTCATCTGTATCACTATTGCTTTCATGATGAATCCCATTTGCCCCATTCGTCTTCCCTCCTACTCGCGATGTTTGCACTAGAGTTTCAAGACATGTGTTACACTGCTGGCGGCGCGTCCCCATTACGATAGACTGGTCGGGTAATACGCTACGATACCACATTGGGAAACAGTCGAGATTCAAAAATTTTAGTGCATGGACACCATAGAAAGGAATGGTCAGCGCACTTCTCGGTGCACAATCTCGCACAATCATGCTCGGTTGGGTTATGGAGTCTACTGAGCCGACACGTCCATCCGTTGCAGTCAATCTTAGAGCAGAATCCACACCACGTATTGCGTTATGCAGCTATGCGCGCAATACAAGGGAGCACTCACGTAGTGCCGCCGATCCAACTGCTGGTGGCCGCATGCGAATTCAACGTAAGCGAGGAGGTGGTAGCACATTTAGGGGCGCCGCGATGATGGAGACACGGATGCAGGTGCGACTCAAGCAGCACAGCCGCTTTAAAGCTCTGGAGCTCGCCGTAGAACATAGATTCGATTGAAAAAAGTACCGACAGCGTGACTAAGATGCTCCTGGAAGGGTGGTGCTACGTGCTGGAGTAGGGGCAGATCCATGGAATATCAGCACTCACATTGACGTCTCGGAAATGGAATCCCGCACCCACCGCATTACCCACGGACGCTTCAGATCGGAAACCGGCGTCCAGCCCAACAACCCACACACCAGTCCATCGCTCTGCCAAGCACAACGGGTCGTCGATGTCTTGGAGCGCGAGGTACAAATTCAATTTGCATTGGAATACTGGTGCGCCATGTCCCTGGAATTGAGTGCAGAGATAGTAGTATGTTTGTGCCGCCCATAGATTCTCTTCACATGGACAGGCTGGGGTTAGCTGCAGCTGTCTTGAAGAATCTGATGGCTGAAGATGGCTGGAGCTCTCATAGATGATGTCCCCGTGGATGATGACTATATGACATATCCTTAACCGCATTTTGCTGTTACAAAACCTTCCGGAAGTGTCCTGTGTCGATCTTGCTGTGCGGAGTCCGGGTACGAATACAAACGAGCGAGGCGGCCGTTGTAAGTGTCTGAGGCTGAAACGCACGGCATCTGCAAATTGGGAAACTGTGAATTTTGATGTAAACGAAAAAAGACATACATACGGACAAATCAAGCGGCTGAATATGTACGAGAACGAGGCGCGGAAGATGGGCCCAGGCAACCGAACTGGGCGTTGTCAGCGTCATGATATGTCGCAATTCCAGCAAGGCGGTTCATAGGCTGGTACAGATTGCCAAATTTCGTCCCCTTTTTTTTGCCATTGTAGATCTTATGGAGTCTGGCTCCGAGACCGGCTGACGTGAACGTTGGCATCCGGTCGAATGAGGAGATCAATGGAGGGAAAACCAAAACTAAGGAGTATTCAGAAGCGTTGTACTAAGAGAGACGTCTCAGGTATCAGTTACTAGAGAGGATAGTTGCGAGTCTAGGACTCGCCTGCCAGGCGTATCACAGTTGATGGACGGGCGAAGTCGATAGAGGAGCGAGCACTTCACATGGGCGCTCAGCCTTGTCGCTCGCCTACCCTCTTTTACCTCAGTCAACATGGAGACCCTCGGTCCATCGCTAGTCCGTAGTCCCCACACCTCTGCCTACATTCGACCCACAGCTTGCACAGCATGACGGTCACAAGATGGAGGGGAGTAATATTAGCCCGCCCGCGTAGCGTGCTAGGTATAGTAGAGGCATCAACTGCTACGACACGATAGTTTGATAAATTTCTACCGTTTAGCCGGCCACAAATCTCAAATTTTTACTCAGACGCAACGGAGAATTTTGTTGGCCATACAGTGCGGTGATTCAACGCCAGCTCTTGACGGCCGCTTGCCCGCGATAGAGTATTCATATCGAGGTGGGCTTCCATGTGGTTTGAGCTCTCCGCTCATCCTGAATATATGTGTAGATTGAGTCTAGGACGGTCAGAGTGCTGGAGATTCGCGGCTTGACGGTTGAACATCCACGCCTTCTTGTCAGCCATTTGTTATCAGAGTCACGTTGGTGCAATCGTCGGGCACCTACTGTATCACCTACAGATGATTGATGAATGCGTGTGTCCGTGTTGAGAGGCCGAAAGTTAGTAGTCCATGCCATGATTCTTCACCGCTCACGAATTGCCTCCAGGGGGTCTCCATCTTCGGAGACTGTGTTGACTCGCGCGACGGTCGGTGGCGCCCGTGCAGATCCTTGATGCCAGTACGCCGTTCACATAGCCTATCAACAGAGTTTGTCCCACCACCCGACGAGGGTCTATGTTTGCCTCGTCTTCCAATACTTTTTTTGAGGGATTGTTTCGTCAGATTTGCTCCAAGTGGAAGACAGCCACCCAGAAGCATTTTATGTAGTACGCACCTCAGTTGGTATTGTAACTCAACCCTAATCTGCTCGCCCGAGGACCATCCAGATGCCGAGGTCTTGCAGCTCTTCAATCGACAAGCCTTGCGACGTATGATACGAGATGAGAGGTATCGCGCAAAAAGTGGTTGACTAGAAGTTTGTCGATGGGGCAGAGAGCTTTCTAATCCCGATGGACTCCACTGTCAATCCAGGTTGCGGCTGGGTGAAGAGCAGATCTGATCAGCCCGCCATGTTCCGGGGCTCGACCTCCCTGCAAGACCCAACTATCCAGGCGCCAGCAGCCGCGGGCTCGCACCCTCGACTAGCTACTAGTTGTCTGGAGGCTATCACCTGTATCATAAGTTCCTTTGCCTCTCTCTTCGCGTTGTTGGCCATTCCCGTTATGTCCAGCTAAAATGCTCCAGCGCCCTCGACATCAACATGTTGTGAATATCAGTTCCCCGAGACGCGGCGCTTGAAAACTGCCTTGTCATCTTACACCACACAAGAGCCAGCGGTGATCCTGAACTCTAAAAGTTGGTTGGAAGCTCTTCTCTTGCTTGCTGTGCCGGCTCCGAGGAAGAGGAGCCGTCAAGAGAGTGCGCCGGGTGCCCCATCCGACATCATCATGATGGTTCCTCGTAGGATGTAAGGCTAAATCGTGGGGGATTGTGTGCCGTTTATACGACCGTATGTGGATTATGTTGTGACGTATTGTTCCGGATAATCATTGAGCGACCTCACAGAAGTCAGCATTGCACATGTTGAAACACGTCACACGGGGCCTGCAGCTTCTAGGCGATACAGCGCAGAGTAATGGTCGTGTTTGTAGCATCCGGAGCGGCGACAATGAGAGCTTTTTTTTGATAGTTTAGGGTACGTTAGACGCTGTTTTCGACCTTTATGCCATTTTAAATGCCAGGGAGTCGTTGCTCTTCATAACGTCTCACACACTCAGGTGTCGAGGATGTGGATGGAAAAATAGCCCTCTTAAACCTTTCTTGTAGCTTTGCTCTTTCAGACGGAATCGCCCGCCGAGAATTGAATGTATAGAGCAAACACCGATCATATACTCCAAATTTCTGACTAAGCTGCGATTATAGACGTGCTAATGAAGTTTTTTCCGACCTAACTGGCAATAGTCATCTTCAATTCTTTTTTCGGCGACGGGGCGTAGCAATATCAGAAGCCAGCGGAAGACGGCTACAAATACGGCGTCGGTCAACCTTATAAACGATCGAAGTTGCATTTTTTGCACGGCTACTCCGTTTATTCGGCTGGAGCTCAACACTATACCACGACTATCAGTTATAATGTGCAGGAAGATTCATATTATAAGCAATCTTGCACCATGTATTTACATGAAAAAGTGAGTTTTCAGTTTGTTTCCTGCCGCACAATTGATAGTTGCTCCTCTATAGCTTATTAGCATCAGGCTGCTTAGGCTGAACATATAGGAACCCAATATCATTTTCGGTAATCGTAAATTGAGCATCTGGAAGAGAGGAACGCGTTGCAAGAGCGACAGAAAGCCGGTACATTTGTCGTCGAATATCCAAAATACACGTTGCTTCTCCGCCGGACGTTAGTATGGCCCTTCGATTCTTTTCGAAAATTGACAACTACGATTAGGCAAATTTGGTGACTGGCAGGTCCGGTACGTCTCTCCTTCCTAAACTTGAAAAAACCACCTCCGCTCGCTCGGGCCTGCTGCATAGCGTGCTTATGGACGGCTTTTGCAGAAAGAAGTTCTTGTCAAGACGGTCACCGGATACTCCATTGTGGAGTGGGAGTCCGTTTGTTGGAGCGGGTCCAATCAGATCCGCCTCTCTACACCCACTTTCCCGGATCTATGCGCCTGAGGCTTGTCTAGAACGCAACCAGTTCACAGGACAACCCATGGGACGGGTATTGGGAGGCGCCCGGCAGTGTCGACGGCCGCACTGTCGGGCTTGTCGCCCGCTCACAGCGTTAATGCGGCACCTCATGCGAGCACATTGTATTGTTGTCCTTTCCAGATTTATGGTGATGATGTGACCATAGTATTCGCCACATGTCATACATATGCAAGGCCGCGATGACAAACGTCGATGGTCGCGGCCGCGCTAGCTGACTTTGCATGGTGCCATCGAAGCCTCATCGTCGATATTTCAATAGAGATCTGTCGACCAACTCCCCGGATCACATTCGCGCTCGCCGGGATAGAAGTGTCAACTGCGATGATCAGTTTGTCACAGGCCGCAGAAATGATCATTCCTAGCCAAAAGGAGATTTCAAGCTCCCCATTCAGGCCTGTCAGTTCGCTGCAATGTTCTAGAGCTCCTTGGATCTGTGGTCTCGCATGTTTGGGTTCCTTTATGTCTTCGACCACGTTAGGCGACGCTGATCAGTCGCTTGTAGCTTTCATACCGAGAAGACCTCGGCTCAAACATCTGCGCCGCTAACATCGCAGCCTTGGCAACCTGCATTACGCCCTCTCCCTCTTGGTCTGCTTTAGCTGGTAGTGGTTAACTCCCCGTCGTGTCCGAGCCCGGGCATGTATGGATATTTTCTTCAAGTCTTTTATCGCATGCCTTGCCATATTATACTTCTGCCCGGACTACTTGATCAAAACGAAAATGTCCGACATGTTGGACTTGAAGAGGGGAGGAGGCTCATTCTCAAGATCAAACGTGGGCTGACTGCTTATACAACCAAAATTGTCCCCTGACAGTCTACCCTTTTCCCACCTCATACTTTTACAAATTCACAATATCTTCTGAGATGCATATAGTATTGATCAGAACGAGTTGTGGTTCAAGGGTCCTTTCGGTATTCCAACGCAGCTGTATTCGGTGTGTTAAACAATGATTCCATATAGCGGAGTACAAATGGCTTACTGCGACCCCAGATTCACAAATGCATATTTGTGTCCACTTCGTGGTTTACCCCAAATCCAAATCACCGTTATTTGTCTCCAGCATGGTGCTTCGTATCCTGACAGGTCGGGCAATCGCCTTGAACTATAACCGACACGCCCCAGGGCTTTCTCAGGCCTCATTTCATGTGCCAATGACAGCAAGCAAAGTACAATGAAAAAGGTGATGTGATCCATACATCAGCACATATGTTCTCACAGTCGTTCGGGGTGGGGCTTGTGAAACTCGGCCGGTCTGTGCTTCGACTTGTTGCATTCGAACTAGCTTCATGCAGTGAGTGTCTTCGTACGTAATTAGGGACCCGCATAGTACCTCCGCGCGGGGTATTGACGTGCGCAGCCGCCATATTCGCCGTGGCCGATGAGATAGCAGGCGCATTTTATAAGAGATAGTAAACCAAGCGCAGGTATACAAGACTCCAAATACTTTGAAGCAAGACATTAAAACATAGCACAGACACTGGGACCTGGACTTGCTTGGGACGACGGCGATGAGCGACTGAAGCTTGAGATGGAAGTACGACAGGTGCCCTAAGTGAAGCTCACCAGCGTCTATACGTACGTAGTTCTATCATTATGAGCCCCCACCCCTTGCACATGGTTCTAGGTTCTGGAAGCATTCCACGTTGTCACTCAGGAATAGTTGATACCAGGTCAGCAGAATCGCGACCCACATCTGCGTGGTTATATGAAAAAGTCGCGGCAGCAACGGACCGACGGCGAAAACCTAAACAGAGAATGACCGAAAGTAACCATACATAAAACAGTTTTTTACACGATGCCATAGATCTAGTGGAGTACCGAACTTTGCCGAGGAAAAGGAAGGCTGAAAAAGGAGCCGGTTCTACATATGTGGCACATAGCTCAATTGTGTGTTGGAAAAATACACGTCTTCATGCCTCTTACATAGCAGATTGCAAATCAAACAAGGTTCGCATCAAATCTTACCGAGCGCTGTCTTGTGCTCGAGTTTAGGGTTTGCCTATGAGTAAGTTTTGCTAGTGCAATTTTTTGCTCTTCATGCTCATACCGCCGCAGTTCGTCCCTCGGCATGCGACAGATCTAGCGGAGCATTAACCTGAGTCACCTGTTTCGAGCCCAATGTAGTTCAAGCATCTTTGGCTTCCTTATTGTTTCCTGAAATAAATACAAGCGCGAGACAGCTCCTTGACCTGATCATAGAGGACAATGCAAGATATTGTCTGTACCGACTGCCAGAAGAAACGCTGCGGCTCTCAGCCCGGAGAGGAAGACCACCAGGAAATGCAGCGTATGTCAGTCGCCTGCAAGGTTAAGGCCAACAAGCTTAGGATAGGACTGTATTATTTGTGCGCAAGTTGTGAAGTGAACAGGGTCTAGGCTCTAGAAATCGAAAACTCAAGACCCAAAACTGGCGGCGCGACGAAAGGCTCCTTGCTAAGGCCTGGTCTGGAAACACATTTTGTGTTACCAGGGGATGCGGGAACTAAGAGGGAAAACCAACGAAAGTCCAGCGAAGCAACGAATAAGCGTTTGGTCATGTTGTACGACGCAATGCCCGTTTGTCGAGTCGGCCCGACAAAGGCCTCGTAATTTGATGCAACATTGTCTGCGAAGAAGACGTCTCGAGGATTGAGTTGCTGATAACGGTCGCAGCAGATCCAGTGCGAGGAAGTGAGGAGAAACAGAAGAACGGCTGGGAAGGAAGCGGTCGCTGACCAATGCAAACCTCGTTGGTTAGCTCATCGTGAGGATCAGCTCATACAGTATTGTACAGAACACATCAACGAAGATCCAACGAACGTGCCTGAGTATACGGGACGACGGTAAGTTTCAACTGGGAATGTGCACTAAGTGGCTGACCCAATACATGCAAGGACCAGGTCCGCCAATCGGGACCCTATCCCCTTCTCGACAACTATAATGATTACGCTGGAATATCGCGCGTACGAGACTGTGTCGCCACCTTTGAACAGAATTATGGCTCTTTCTACACAATCTGTACCACTCCTAAATCAACAGTGAGATGAGTTATGGATTAGCTATCATGCTCGCCTGTATAGGGTTTGCTGACAATGGACGCACCCGGCATGTCACTTGTCTCAGACCTCGATAGGGTTGCGCCAGATGCAAGAGCAGAGCCTCGGAAAATGCGGCCTGCATGCAAAAATACCGCGAATATCACGAGAGCCTCTCCAAAGCGCCTCGACGTCAGAGATCGCCTTAGAAGCGTACGGCACAGGCTTCCAATATATTTTGAGATCTTAGCAGCTAGCCCTTCAGCAGATTTGAAAACAAAATCCGTCCTTTGATGTATATCAATTGCAGCAAATTGTCTGGTTGCGCGCGCGCGCTGTCTACTCGGCGACAATAATCATACACAATGGCGTCAATCGAGGAAGCTCCGAATACAGCCCATGATGCGCCATGCAACCGGTAAGGTTGGTCCGAACGGCATCGATCTATGATACAAACGAACTTGATCAGCATGGGCGCCGATATTGTCAAGTCGATGCAGGGAAAAGATTGCCAAAATCGATATCGGCGTGAGCAGTGTGGAGGGCCAAGCCAATGGCACGTGCACAGCAATACTGGTACAAGCATCTGTGCCTCCAATTTGGGGACAAAGATACACGGCTGCAATCTAGGCAGAGGCCGCGCATAAAGCACTTGCATCACGAGGACCAGCGACGGCCTGGAGGTGGAGAATGGAACCAGTGGCGAAGGGATAGTAATGTCGGAGAGTAGACGAGCAAAGCTACCCAGAGGCATCTGTGTTAACGCTGTGACAGAAAGACAACATCTAGCCCACGATGAGGTAGGGATCCTCGACGCAACCTGGCATATCTACGCGCCTCGCGGTGATGAACCAATGAAGATGGAAGGATGTCTCCGGAAACATTCGTTGTTGCTGATCCTTTCTCAGACTCCGGAGCTCGATGCATACCTAGCGAAGTTCGGTCGCGATAATGGCCGCCGTCAGGACTTGCCAGGTATGTCCTTAGTCCATGATCATATAAAGTACATTTGGCGAACCTGGGAGAATTTTCTGTGGCCTTCAAGCTCATGGGGGCAAGCATGTAAAGGGGGTACATATGTTGAGAGAACTATGAGGATGTGAGCTTCACAAGGAACAGGCACGCCTTCAGCTAGTCTTCCGCCCCAAAGGTCAGCGCGAGTCAGCGCTGGTAGGCAGTGAACGACCTTCGGCGTCAAAGCTATAGGCTTGCAATCCTAGCAGTGCCAAACAACCCGTACTGAACGCCCCGCCACTTTGAAGGCGCTTACTGTCGGCCGGCCTCATGGGCGCTCCCAATAGACATCTATGCCTTAATTACGATTCATAATTCTACAGCAAATGTTGCAACATAGCAGTTTAATTCTGAGGGAGCTCCACTAGAGCGGCGGTACAGCTTCTTTCTCAGCTTATGAGTGGGTACTGATTAGGAACTTGATTCTAGATAATAATACGCACTGAGAGGGGAGCACATCTCGTCCTCGGGCTCAACTGTTGCCGCTCTACCCGAAAAACCCCACAGACAAGAATGAACTAGAGGGATCTCAGACAACCTGGAAGGAAATCTTGCCTTACACTGCGGCAAGTAGCCGTAGCGTCGGATTTTTGATGCGGCTTAACAAAGGAAAGGAGGGAGCCACAATTCTAGCGACGTGGCCTGTGATCCCCGTCTAAGAGCCACATGAAATGCGCTTACAGAATCTAACAATTCAGCCACACAAACGAAACCAAAAGAGATGCCTCGCTTGTTGAACAATCGTGGCGGAGCTACAGTCCACACCACGCGTGTGGGCGGGCCTCAGCTATAAAAGTGGCCCATAATGTGTCGCTTTGGCTCACTACCTTCCACCTTCGCATCTCTGCTTCATCCGCTCCTACACAATGGTCACATCCCAGGAACAATCGAGCACTACTTACATCGCGACTACCTCTTCGCTCTTTCTCCAACTCTATCCAGTGCCCTCGCAGCCAAGCACAGGCGTAGATGGTGTCGCCGTTCGTACGAACCATCCAGATCTGCACGAGCGTCGATACCTGCCACCCAAGTGGAGGCGAAAGGCCGAGAAAGCCAACGCACAGGATCAAGAGGCTATAGCGGCAGGCTTGCCACAGATGGTGACCTTCCAGTGGCAAAATGTTTCCCGAACACTCAATACCACTGGTACTGCACAAGTGGCAACGCAAGCGGCCAAAGCCCCTCAGCAAGCCGCCCCAAGGAAGAAGTGCATGCGGTATCAGCCCAAGCCAGAGGACCCCAACAGGCGCAGGAGCTCAAGAATCCTGGCCAAGGAGGGGACTGCTCAGAAGACTGAGGGCACAAGCACAACGAGTACGACGCACAAAGGGCACGATAACCCGCCACAAGAAGAAAGTGGCGAGAAGACGTCGACTGAAGAGGCTGCCGCTGCACAAAGCACCCAGTGAGTACTGTTTCATAGGGTCATTTGACATTTGTCCATCTTCATTCGCATCGACGACGCATTAATGGAGGATTAGCCTCTAATTCGAAAGAGAGCGGTCGTCAATGGAACGAGCTTATGTTTACATTGGAAAGATCACGATTGCTTACCATGTCGCGCGTAGGAGTACCAGCGGCGGCGACGCAAAGAAGAGAAAGCGAGATGAACCAGATGAAAGTAAAAATATGAAGAAGAGACGGTGATGGGGCTAACACCACTTCGCCTCAAGAATTCTTCCGAAGGTGAGGGGAGTAGGATAAAGATGTGACGCACCTGGCGGGGAGTCGACAGGCGATGGAGCGACCAGTGAGCACCAGCTTGATACAGCCTTCGAGATGCAAGCTGATATATATAAATTCAGATACCTCATAATTTCAGTTCAGCTTCTTAAAGAACTTTCCTGGCGCGTTCAAGTTTGTCCACAATGAACGTTCAAGCATAGCGGCGTATAAATACTTAGTCGCACTGTCTAAAACTAGCGATGTTCATCACATGAATTATCGTATCTGAAATCCTGTACAATATAGAGCTCGTGTGTCAATAAAAAATATTCGAGGAATGATGCTGAACATGCTCATCGATCGAGACTTTCTTCACGACGCGCAAGAAGCGGCGCGACACAAGCTAGATAGAGTAGGTCGCTTGATGCGAGATCTCATGAAACCCCATGCATAGATAGCATCGCCAATTACATGCGAAGCTGAGACAGGTTGAATATCGCCGATAGGACGCTGCGGCTGTTCAAACGTTCACGACTGGCCGACTCGGAAACTCCAGGCGCTGGGCGTCAAGGCTATTACCCTTGAATCCTAACAGAGACAAACAAACAAGACCGATCGACACCTCTCCGAGACTGTCGGCGATCGCGTCTCCCAGCCTCTGCTGAGATTGAAACTTTCCTCGCCGATTTGCCCTTCTGCACGCACATCCCAACACCGGAGAAATGGATCCAAGCTCCTCGGAAGCAAGCAGTTCGGCACCCAGAGCCAGGGGAAGGGGCAAGTCGCGTGGCGGACTGGGCAAATACCTTCGTGCGAGAGGTCGTGGCCGTGGCCGTGGTCGGCCTGCGGAGTGGGGCCAACGACTTACACTTGAAGGCGAGGGGCATGCTGAGCTTGATGAAGAAGAACAGCGGGAGCTGGAGGAGAAGTATTCAAGGAGAGAATTAGGATCCAATGCAGATCGGTACGCCGAGCCCGAAGCCGAGCTTGACTCTGAAGGCGAGGGTGTCACATTTTTGGTTCTGTCTAAAGCTTATAGATGTATACGCAACAGGGGAAGAAGTGGTGGAACCCGAGGTGGACCTTTCCTCCTTCCTTGAGCGTCAGCGGCTCTCAGAAAAACCCTCATCCGTGTCGCCACCATCAGATGAGGACGAAGATGTTGATGCGAGCCTTGCACATCTAACACCGCATTCCAAACACGTCCCACAATCAAAGAAGGGGAAAGTACAACAAGTTGCTTGGGATTCCTCTTTAGAAGAGATGCGCCGCGAGAAAGCTGCAGCCGAGGCGAAATGGGGTGAGGTCGACGCATTCCCTCTAAGCCGTCCTACATGATCCTCTTCTAGATCTGAAAACACGCTTCAGAGCTCAGGCCGCAACGCAAAGAGGGAAGCCAAATGGACGTGGTACTAGTAGAAGCAAGCTTCAGGGTGCGTGCCCTATTAATTCATATTGTGCGCACTCTGATAGCTGTATCAAGACCGTTCGTATGTGGAGGCACCGCCCCTCCCCATTGATCAAGAACCAGAGAAGTCAGTGAAAGAGGGAATGCAAGATTTCTTAGATGATCTTCTAGGATGACGGGAAGGATGCTTCTGCAGTAAAGAAATCCCACCACTGCGTTTCACAAGAGCGCAATCGGACATAATGCTCACACTATACATTATGCATCAGCTCTAAGCGCAACCAAACTGTGTTGATTCGCATTCATGCTTGCAACCAACCGCGCTTTCGAAATCAATTCGCAACTCTAACAATACATATTGATTGCATCAGAAATATTGACTACACAGGAAAATGCGAATAAAATAATCTAAAAGATAAAGGAGAGACAGTAAGGAGCGATCAGTGTTTGGATGTGTCATCAAGTAATCGGACACTGAAATAATACAGTAGTGTGCAGACCGTGTAAGGATACAAAGTTCCATACCAAAAGACGTCAAGTCCAAGTTCCAAACTATGCAGATTCAGCGGCCTCGGTATGGGTCGACACCTGGACCGTTGTGCATTGAGCCAATGCTTGCGATGCAGGCATGGGACAAATGGTCGGTGGGCTAAATGGTCTATGATAAGGAGGTACAAGGACTCGTTCCGCTGAGAGCCGAGCGAATTGTCGTGGCGAGGAGGGATGATGAACTGGAAAGTTTGCAGGGGAAGCAAGGGCGACGCTATCGCGAAGCTCCACATAATCTAGGTGCGGAGATAGTATTGTGATTTCAGAATCTGTAGGTGAACCGACGGCGGCGAGGGTGGCTGAAGTGGATGCCGGGGAAGGTAAAGCTTTCTCCAAGTCGATGTTAATGAAGCTGCCAGCGTGAGACGACAATAGCGAATCCTGTCGCTTGCGACGAATCGGAGGCGAAGGAGTGTAAGGAGGAAGCTGATCCTTTGATTCCTTTTTGAGATCCCCAAATCTATTGACACCCACGTCAGCTCTGATCACTAGATGAGGTTACGCAATCTTACCGCAGAGATCCAAGAAGCAACTTCTTCTGTGGGGGCTGGCGGTAGCCTAGACGTTTGGCTATTGCCCAGAATGCCATTCGATAGTGGCGACGGGCCTCTTCGGCGAAGCCAAAAAGGGCAAAGAAAAGGAAGGCAGAGAAAGGGTATATCCATCGACTCAATTCGACGGATATGTAGGATGCACGATTACTCGTCCAGATAATAGCGGCAATTTGCTCCACGAAAGAAAAATTGTAATGAGCATTTGCCCATGACACGTATGGCTGGATGGGATCGTCCATATTGTTGATATAGATGCTGAATGCGCTAAGAGGCACGGTGCAAGCCATCTCGACGCAACATAGAAGCATAAGCCGGAAGTAGCGGCTCGTAGACATTGAGCTGTTGGCAGCAAGCAGTTCGCTGAACTGCGCACGGCGTCGCCAGAACGCGCGCAAAGTAAGTGCTAAAGCTTGTCAGCAAATATAATAAATGTGATGAAGGAAGACCTACAAGCATATATAAATGATACACAACCCAAGAGGATCGGCCACATGAGAACGAGAGGGTAAGCTGGAGGAGTGTTCCAGATATCGGGAGTGCAACCAACGTTCTCCAGTATGTTAAACCTATGTCCTAAAATTGACGAGGTTAAGCAAATACAACGCAACCAATGACCTGTGGCATACCCTGAACTACGTAGTCTGTTCCAATGCCGGTTTAGTGTTCGCTTTCAAAGCTCAAAACTTGCGAAAACTCACGTAGAACCATGACTAGTATTGGGATTCCAACACCAATCGCCAAATCTTCATATACAGCACGCAATTTCTGTCAAGCACGACGAAGTGTAAGCAGAGATGTAATTGTAACATAAGGCAAATGTACCTCTTTGCGAGTCACCGTAGCTGCATTCATCCGCGAAATTTTGAATAGCCGTCTGTTTATACAAAGAGAAGCGGCAGGAATACCAACACCTGCGCCTATCAGGAACTTAGTTGCTGTAGGACGTTTGAATAGCGTCAGAGTGGCAATGAGCCATAAAAGTTAATCGGTTACTCACAAATATCACACCAGACCGGAGCAGGATTGTCGACATTTCCACTCCAAACAACGGAGTCGACGAACTGAATCATACAAGCAAATGACGACCAGAGCATGTAAATGCAGGTACCCGAGTTCCAGCCCTGTATGTGCCATGGCAAGGGCACAAGGGCGATGAGAAAGCCCAAAAACGCGAAAACAGAGAATAGAGGATAGGTGGAATCGTTCATGGGTAAGAGTAGTATTCACGAAGGAGGGGGAGGTAACAGAAGTAAGAAATACATTGTCGCCCTTTAACGCGTTTTGGCCGGAACTGTGGACAATGGGGTGAGCGTATAATGCAGCCACATGGCGCCACGCGCGTAGCCAGATCTACGATGCGTGACATCGTGACCAATGGCCATTCGTGCAGCCTCTCGATTTGGCAAACAAACATGAACAATGATCTCGGGCTCTGCGCACAATGTCGTCGATGGGCCCGTGTGCCGCACGCATATCGCTTGATGTGGGTAAATTCTGGACGCGCACTCTCTCTTATTGTCTTGACAGCTCAGAGATGAATAATAATTTGTTCACACGCGTGAAGCAGTATAAGAAGGCATTCCTACATCCTTTTCCGCATCAACTTTTGCGCCTTACCACTTTCGTGAGCGACGCTCGCTAATATCTTTCCTACCACTATGGACAACCTCGACTCCTTCGATCTCATCCTCCCCTCTGCGTCGACCGCAGAGGAAGACACCCTCATATTCTCCATCCCCGTTGATGCAGAGCACATCAACAACAACTTTTCTCACTCCTGGTGTACAATCGCATAATGTAGCGACTCGTGAAGTAAGTCAGGCGTCGTTTTCAGCTCTGGCATATAGTGCTAACAATCCCTACCTCTCAAGCCTGCCAGCATAAATTATTCTGTAGCTTTATGTCCACAGACCGTGGCGTATTGGGTCAACTCCGACTCAGTTTAAGTTATTTGTATCGGAATTAGTCACGCAGTTTCGTTCGTTGTTGGAGTTAGTCCCTTATCGCGTTCCTCTTATACTATATGTCGCCGTCCTGTATCATGCAACATCTATTTTTTAATGCTGTGTCATGATATCATCTGGGATTGCTTGATCATCCGAGTAGATTTAGGGGTGTTATTTTACCACTGCTATTAGTTCCAGATATCGAGTGTAATATAGTATTTCAGGGATAAAGACATCGCCATCTTACGTGTGCCATCACCTGCATTTCAAAATTGCTATTACAATTTATATGTCATTTCTACTCATAACTTGAACGATTCAGCGCTGATCGCTGAAAACTGAGTCCTGATCATTGATACAACGAGGTCTAAATTTCAGTATGGACGGCGTGTTTATCCGGGAGTTGTAGAGTCTGAATCAATGCATAGATTAGCAATGACCATCCAGTGTGTCGTGTCGCCCAAATCATATAACCTTTGATTCATTCAAGGTTCAAGGTATAGTGCAAACGTACAATTTGAACCATAAGATTCAGTGACACTAGTCAAAGTTATTGCATGTGCAGTACTGGTCGACTACAAGGCTATGGTTAGCGTCTGTCACGCCGGATCCCCATTCTACACGATGACAGCGTCTCAGATTCCCACGTGTCACAATAGCTTGAGCATTAGCGCCCATTGTGGGTCCGAGTCCCATTGTGTGATGCATATGGATATACTGAGACTCACTGACGAGCCGGTAAACTGTCCTGGAGCCTGAAAGCATAATCCAGGCACGTGCTGGCACGCATCACACCTTTAGGTTTCAGATCTCAGCTGAGAGTCTCTGAGAGTCCACAACGTTTCCAAAATAAGCCAAACAATCAGCGGATTTTGAAACTCAGTTTATCTCCGTTTTGGTCAACCAACGTTTTGTCATGGTCCGTGTGGCAAATAGGGCATGACTGCATCCCATTGTTACCCCCTTATTATTCTCGGCTATGCCATTCTTCCGGGAGCTCATAATTCCTGCCATATAAATGGCCTGCACGGACAGGCTCGCCCACAATTTCTTTTTACCCGCCTGTTGCATTTCGAGAGCACGTTCCCTCCTCACTCTCAGCTGTCCTTTGAGTTAATTATCGTCGACAATCCTCGCCTACCACGCATTTCACCATGGACGAACTTACCTCCATTGTTGCCATTCTCGAACAACAGTTAGGCCCTAGGACCGAGGACTTCGGTATCCCTCTGAACGAGGACACTGCTTCACAGCCCGGGATTTATTGCATAATATCATAGGCATCCTGGTGGGATCCGGCTTTCAGTGTCCCACTGCCCTTGCTAATAAGTGACTCAGACATTTGTCTGGTTGTCCGTTTTCTTCGTTAACATTATTGCGATCCTTCGACGTTCTGGTCTATGCGGACACAACACGGTTAGTCTCTTACTCATTTCGCAGAGTATGTTAATGCTCATTACTTAGCTCAGGTCCTTTACACATTTATTTCACCCATCTTATTGTGAATGACGGGTATACCGTCCTTTGAGTGTAGCACTATAAAGCCGGCTCTGTAGTGTAGTATCAACCGCATTGTATCCTTATGTATTTATTCAAGCAGAAACTACGCTGCATTCGAGAAAGCAGTTGATACTTCTAAGCTGCAATGATGTGATCGATTACTTGCCTGAAGGTCGTCTATCAAACCACATGTAGACTTATGGTGCTCTCGGAAAGCTTTGGACTGCGCTTGGATTGTGCCGCTTTTTTAAACGGTTAGCGTCGAGAGCGGTAACAGCCGGGGGATGAGCCAAGTACTACGGTCAGAATTGGTAAGTTCGCACAACGAAGAAATCCTCCTTTGTTTGAGTATGAAACACAACACAGAAACCACCGTTTGCTTGCGATGGAAATGCATTGAAAAGGTGTCAGCTGCAGTGGATGAGCCTCTCCTCCCTTGAAAAATGGACCTTCCACCACTGCCAAGGAAATCAGATCATTTCTTTGTTATGACTCAATGAGCCCTTTACATGCCTGTAGACTCTTTACTTTACTAATCAGTGGAAAGACTTGATAAACACACATTTTGCAGCTTCGTAAAAAAGGCTGCTTTCTATTACAATAAAAGGTTAGATACCGACAGTGTTACTTCAAGTTTTGTCGCACAATTTCTATACGTTTTGCGTGCCTTCTGGTGGCATCGAAAGGATGGTTTATTGTCGTGACATACATAACAAAGAATTGACCGTTTCTCCGGTAGGGAAAGGTACATCTTCAATGCAAGGGAGGTGAGGTTCATGGCATCAGACAGGTACTTCTCTAATGCCTTCCCTCACCTTTCCATTACGAGAAAACGATCAATTCGTCGGTGTGGTAGGTATTGTGATACAAATGAGATAAAGATATACAGAGTGGATATCTACATACATTGGAATAACGAAGAGCTTACGATACACTATGTGCTAAACAATATGATCACGATGCATTGAATACGGACAGACCGTGGCGACGCGACTGAGACTCAACGTCGTCAAATACGGTAGAGTCGCTGTTAGCGGTACTGGGAGAGGATGGAAGCGACAGCGAGCCGGGCTCGGTAGAATCATCATGTTGATGGAGCAGGGGGCACATGTTAACAGAGATATCTTTCGACTGCAATGTGTTCATCGAGGGCGGTAAGGGGAGGTCGGATTTGTAGGTAAACGCGGTTTCGGAGTACGATGGCGGTAGACGTGGAAGGCCAGCTTTCTCATGACGCATGAACCCATGACTAAAGAAAGAAAAACTAAGTTCTGACTGAACGAAGACGAGAATGCATTCACTCACTCTGCGCTTTGTATAGCACACTTCGCAGATTGTGTCCGATGGAACCCAAAAAGACGCCCAATACGTAGAGCTGCCGACTTGTAATGGCTTCTTGCCTCGCTGGCAAGCCCAAAATATGCAAAGAAGATTAGAGCGCAGACTGGGTTGAGCCATTGTCCTAACTCAAGCGCAATAACTAGTTGACGATCGGAGCGCCATAAAATGGAGGGCACCTGTTCGATGCGCGAAAAGTCGTAATGCACGTAAGACCAACTAACCCAAGGCTCTATGGGTTGAGCAGTAGCGTTCAAATAGATGGCGTAGCTAGAGACGGGAATGGTGAACAAAAGTTCGGTAGTTGCCAGCGCCATCAAGCGGAAGTAGCGACTGAATGTTAGCGACGATTGTCCTGATGTAAGGAATTGCTTAAATTGGGCACGTCTAGCGGTGAACGCTTTCAGGGAAAGAACTAGAGAAATGTGAGTCGGCACAGGTATGCAAAGGACTTGAGGAGAACCTACCGCAGTAGACGGCCGAAATGAGTCCGAGCACAACTGGCCACCAGTTGACCAGAAAGTATGCAGCGATCGTATTATATATGGCAGGGTAACAGCCAATTTCTTCGTATATATTATAACGATGACCTTGGACGACGTAGGCTGCACATGGGATTAGACCATCGTTAGATTGTACGATCAACTCAGGCGAACTCACCAAGGACCATGCAGATGATCGGAAAGAGGACGCAGAATATGCTATCTATGAATATAGCTCGCTTTTTCTGTGCAAAAAGGAACGGTTTAGACGGAAAGTTGGACCTGGAACACATTACTTACCTCTGCTGTTGTTATAGAAACAGCCTGCACTCTTGCAATAAGGTAAAGTCTGCGGTTGATGCAAAGCGAGGCCGCCGGTATGCCGACCGAAGCCCCTATAATTATACGTGTAGCTGTGGTCATAGAGTCAGCGCGATCCACAGCGCGTTCGGAAAGATACTCACAGATATCACACCATACCGGCGCAATGTCGAGAATGTTATTTGCCCAGATCAAAGAATTCACAAATTTGTTGAGACACGCTAGAGAGGCCCAGATCATGTAGTAACACGTTGCAGAGTTCCAGGCCTCTAGGTGCCATGGGATAGGCATCAACGCAAGTGTGAAGCCTAAGAATGCGAAGATAGGAAAGACAGGATAGGTTGGGTCGCTCATGATTGCGAGCTATGGAGGGACAGATGGAGCAGGAGAGAGCGACTTCTGGATATAAAGGATATAAAGCGAGCATTTTGAAGCGTCGAGTATGGCTTTGTCGTTCCGATGTGGCAAGGCGTCGAACAATGGCATGCACTAAATTGCAGGCGCTTACCCACAATCAGGCCGAGTCGTGTGATTAAACGATATTACTATTTTTGGTCAGTCAGTGGGTGCCGCGGGACTTGAATTGTGGCCTTTGTCCTCCCAACTTCCTTCAAACAATGCCCTATATTGCGTTTGTTCGTGAAAGTATGAAGACGCGACGAGATATCCGGCAGCATCCTTTCTCTCCATCTTTCACTTTGGTATCTCAAGATGTCGTACGGGATGTCCTTCGCTTCGCTCCTCGCCGCTGTTCTCGTCCTCATACCTCTCCCATGGCATTGGCGAGCCCGCAACGTCCCAACCCTCTCTATAATTGCATGGTTATTCATCGCAAACGTTATATGCGGCGTTAATACCATCGTGTGGTATCATAACGTCGATATTAAGCTTGTCGTTTGGTGCGATATTAGTGCGTACTTTACCAACTCATGCTGGTCCAGTTAATTTACCACCGATGAAGCCACTAAGCTGGACGTCGGCGCAAACATAGCCCTTCCGGCTGCTTGTTTCTGTCTTTGCATGCATCTAGAGCGCATCGCCTCTGGCCGACAAGTGACCACTACGTTCTCCGACAAGCGGCGTCGGATGTGGATCGACCTAGCCATTTGTGTTGTTGTGCCCATGGTTTACATGGCTCTTCGTAAGTAGCATGTGCTCCGTGATAAGAGGACTTTACTTATCGGACTCTGGTAGATTATGTTGTCCAGGGACACCTATTCGATATCGTTGAGGACTTCGGCTGTAGGCCGGAGGATTATGTCTCCATCCCCGAATTTTTCCTAATGTGGTTCACACCAATCTTGCTCTGCCTCGGAACCTTCGTATTTTCTGGTAAGCTTACCACTTACTTTCCTCATCAATTGCTCACAATTGGACAGGTCTCGCATTCATTCACTTCCTTCGTCGACGTGCAACATTTGCGAGGCACCTCGCCAACTCTAGCACTGCTCTCACACCTGGCCGCTACTTCCGACTCATGACCATGGCGCTCGTCGAGATGTTCTGGGCGCTATTTATTATTTCCTGCACCTTATACTTCAATTACCGCGATGGCCTACGACCGTGGATCAGTTGGGCCAACGTCCACTCCAATTTCTCCAACATCAATCTTTTTGCATTGATCGTGATTCCGCCGACGCTGTTGCAGTGGACGTACTTCCTTTGGTGGACCACACCCATTTCTGGGTACCTCTTCTTTGTATTCTTCGCATTTGGTGCGGATGCTATGAAGGAGTATGCTTTGTTCGTCGCATGGTTTCGCCGTAACGTTCTCCACCAGAAACGGGAAGCCGCATTTCTCCCGTGTCCTTTGCATGGGTATGTTTCTTTAAGAACCCTTCTCTAGGTACTGATGCGTCTGGCAGTCCCACAAATATCCGTAAACGATCGGTTATCCCTGTCATTCTCTCCAATTCTCAGGACTCCAACTTGCCATCGAGCCTTGCGGAGCACAAGATCCGGTACCCGGACAGTCCCGGTGCTCTGTCTTTAACAAGCACCATCCCATCATACTATGAGGCACTGGTCAGCTGTTCGGCTCTTCATGAGGCGCCTATATCCCCGTCATCGCCAACGACATCTGTAATAACAATTCCAATACCCGCAAGGCTTCATGATAGCAGCCGCCCTGCCTCTAGACCATATTATGCAGGAACTGTGCAAATTGTATGAAACCCTGTAGCATGTGCTTCATTACGCAGTCGTCAACTCGATATTCTAGTTTACTGTAGCTCTAAACAAACGCCGGACTCCAAATCTTTGTATACTATCATTTACATCGTTTCCCATAAATCTTGACTAGCGTGTGAAACCCGGATGGTATTTTCCTGCACACTCTGTTACTCTATTTATTCTCTAAACCGTATGAAGGTAGTACATGAGTGTTTGTGACTAAACAAGCCCGGTGGTAATCTTTCGGGAACGCGGCCCCGCCTCGAGGTCAGAGGGTAGCAAATATCGGTTTCCTAAGAAAGACAGTAGTTGTCCGAGAGGTGGATTCTCCCTCCAAGCAGTCATTACCTCAAACGTCCAGTGATCAGCGTCGTGGTCGCGCCGGAATGACTCAACCAGGAGTGCCCGGAACGATCCTGTGTGGGGCACATTTGCGCTCAGCAAGTAGCCAGTGACAAAGGGGAAATAACTCTAATAAACATAATATATTGTGCATACTATTGCGCTATCATATTACAGCAGTCAATGCCAATACGAAAGGAACGTGTTTATGATAAAGCCGAGAAGATGGAAATAAAGCTACAAAAAATGACACTACGGGCACGAATGAAATTCAGAAGAAATGTTATAAATTATCATGCAAGACGCGCTCTACCCTCCTGGCCGTATGTGTTCAAGCGAAGGACTTTTCCTTCACGTCATACGAATCAATATCCGTGTCGACAGAAATTGTGGGCGATGGAAGAGCGGGTTTGGTATCGACAAACACGGGCAATGAAGTCGCTGATGAAGACGTGGCTCTTCTTTCATTCAACAATCTGTTTATAATCAAAGAACGTCAAGACCAGGCAGAGAACATTGAAATGAGCAACACGCACTTAGACAACTTCAACGAGTTCAACCGCCCTCCCATCCGCAACGGTTTCGTGACCGTCAGCCAGAAGGTAAAGTAGTTCTTACGAGCCTCCTCCGCGAAGCCGAAGAACGCAAAGAATATCAATGCGCAGAAAGGCACTGCCCAAGTACTAAGTCCGAAAGCAATGATGGCAGTGCGTTGTGACCGCCAGATAATGGCAGGGTATTGGTCAACTTGAGAGTAGTCGTAGTGAACGTTTGCCCAGTTAATCCAAGGATTCAAGGGTCCGGCAGAGAGATTTAAGTAGAGGCCATATGTCGATATTGGTACGGTGCAAAGCAATTCTACGGTAGCCAGCGCCATGAGTCGAAAATAGCGGTTCGCGGTAAGACCAGAGGACGAGGCCAAGCATTGCATGAACTGGGCACGCCGTCTGAAGAAGGCTCGGAGTGTCAAGACTAATATGGAGGTTCACGCATGCAGTGGTTAGTCAACAGACGATGATAAGGAAGGCGCATGGTACGCACTACAATATACAGCAGAAACCAACCCTATGAAGATGGGCCACAAAACACTAAGAGGATAGGCGGGCGCCGTATTGTAGGTAAACGGGTAGCAGCCAACCTGCTCGTAGATATCGAACCGATGACCTAACAGTATGTCAGCGCACAGAAGTATTACGCCAATCGAGATAGAACAAACCAGAGACAATGTACTCTGCAGCAGAATCGGTTTAGCGCGTAGTCATGAGGGATACAGTACAACTTACGAAAAATAATCTGAAGAACGGGAATACCCAGTCCGATTGCAAGATCGGTCATCATCGCTCGACGTTTCTTCGGTTGGGCAAAAATCAGACGGTTGCGATGAAACATCGTGGGCTACAACAACTCACCTCTGCACGTGAAAAGCTTACAGATACAGATGTTACAATTTTATAGAGTCGACGATTGATACATAGAGACGCGGCTGGAATGGCAACGGCAGTCGCAACGATTATTCGGGAGGCTGATGGACGCCATTAGCATGAATCCAACACCCATCGAGCAAGACACGAACATATATCGCACCAAATTGGCGAGTAGTCTGTTACGCTGTTCCGCCATATAATTGAGTTAAGGCCGTAGTTAAAGCATGCCAGTGACGTCCAAATCATGTAGAGACAAGTCCCCGAATTCCAAGCTTGAAGATGCCATGGCAAGGGGACCAAGACTAGAAAAGAGCTGACAAGAGCAACGATGGGATATGCAGGGAACGTAGGATCTGACATCGATACTATCTGGCAGAGGAGCTGACGAAAGGTGAAATGCCATTTTACAAAACGAAGAGAGCCTTTATGATACTGTAATTGTGTTGTCACAGGCTGAGGACAATGGCTTGTTTGAGCCACACCTGGGGGTTGGATTACATAACAAACAACGCGCGGCTATCTTCAGATCTGCCTTCGTCTGACCACGAGCTGGCAGGAGAACAATGCGGTTCCTTGTGGATGGTTCTCAGTGGCCGTATGATTACCAAATTGATTGTGGGTGAGTGGAGTGCTGTATTTAACCGGCACGCAACTTGAGGTCGTGCCCACATATTGCACCCCGCTACGACGCACACAAACCCTCACGACGACTTATCACCGAACCTACTTGGCACACAACTCGCCATGGACATATATTCTCCTTCAGACATCTTCCTCGATATCGAGCTGAGCTCGCCCTCATCCTTTCCGGAAGACAGCGATCTTCCGTATCCAGTCAATTTCGAGCACGGCAATGGTACTTCTACCTTCTGGTGCGTGATCGCATAGGAGTGATCAATTGCACACCTGTAAGTGCATTCGATTTATGTCCTATAATGTGACCCACTTATTTTATTTGCCACTCATTGACAGGTGCTTGTACACCTATAGAAACATACCCTAGTTTTTCCCCTTATCATTATCTCTTCGATTACAGTCATTCATCGCTATTCATGAGCATGTTGGCGTACGCTGGAAGTTTTATCTGTATCTGTATCTATAGCTGAGCCTTCGACCTCAGTCATCGTTGACGACGGAAAGAACATGTGCAGTAGTTAATTTATAAAGCCTTTGAAGGTGCAAGTGGCTCTTAGGATTTATCCCTATGTTATGACTATAAATCTGGCAGTCCAAGAATTATCAACTGACCATTGGGTATCTCGGAGTGTCGGGGAATCGCTTGAGCGCTTGGGACCCACAATGGCGCACCGGGTGTAATCGATCGATATGATCCGGTCGCTGGCGTGGCTGAAGTGCTGAAGCCTGAAGGTCAGAGACGCGGGGCCCGGCTGCGCCACGCTCAGTCACGAATGGGCTTAGCTTGACCTTAAAATACGAATTAATGCCTCGAGCTATGCCAGGACATTTGCAATATTTTGTAGTTCAAATATCTACGAGGGCTGAAGGTATGTTGGAATCTTCCGGTCCACTAGGGAGTAACTCGGGAATTAGTGATCCGGGGCCCAGGCCCGCCCAACAAACAACGTGGCGGAGGCATGCGAGTCTGGCGCTTGTTAAGCGCTTAAGCAACAATGCGGATTCGAACTCTGTGGGCGCCATCTTTCTCTGGGTTCGAACAATCAGCGGATGTGCGAGGACAATGGGTTATCCGGAAATGCATTGTTACTACTGCTAGTGGGTGTATTTCTACGTGAGAACTATTCTCCTCGGCTATTGGCCCTGGCCGCACTACGGAGTAGTGGCAAGGCGGACAAATAATCATGCCACAACCCTCAAGTGCGGTAGGAACGACTAGGACCAGTGCGCCATTGTTCTAAATATGTATTGTCATGCGGCTTATTAGACCGACAAGCATAAAATACTCCATCCTCCTATCTCAGTTGCACACAATCGTCGTTCCAACTTTCTGCCCATTGAGCTTATACATCGCTCGCTCTTGCTATCTACACTCTTTAGCTGCCGCTGCAAAGCCCCATTATCGTTTTAATCGCCCTCCTGATTTCTCAATGGACGCATTCGACCTCGACCTTGGAGCTCTCTTCCCCTCCCTCGGCAGCAGCCGGCCCAACGCTGTCCAAGCTGCGCTTGGATTGCCCACCAACTTTGACCATCAGAGCGACGGCTACCCTGCATACTGCATTGTGTCATAGAATGTCCGCAAGGCCCTTCTGTTCTTTCCTTACGTAAGTTGTACCCTCTAGGATTCGTTTATGAGATTATAGCAGCTCACTTTGGATTGTAGCTCATACCCAGTGTAGCGTTTACTCCTGCGTGGAGGCTCTCCGACAGTCTCGGCATATTTATGATGTATTATCAACTGCACACCCGATTCGACTTCGATTTTAGCTCTTATGTATTGGATATTGTGGGCAGCTTCCGAAAGCCACGCGGAGAATGGTGGAATAGGGGAGGGTGCATTAGGGGGGGAATCACTGCTGTATCCTGAATTATTGAAATGTATATGAATGACTTCAAGCTTTTGGCGTCAGGTGTCTTAAAGGTCCAGTGACTCGAATTGACAGACTTGCTTCCTGCTGGCGGAAGCATCTTCATTTAAATGCCGCTTTACCCCAGCTTGGCCGTCGTATGTGGCCTCGTGGAATGTATCATCCACACCGTATATCTAACTCATGTCCGACCAAGAGAAGAAATAGCCTATTTGAATGAACTTGACCAAATCATCGGAGGATTTGACCCACATAGCTCAGGCAGGGCCAACAACTTGAAGGGCAACGCACTACCACTCACATGAGTTGGAGTTGAATCCTCGAACGACATTCAGTCGGAAGAACTTCGATGTCCGAGTGATATACATTGGCGTGCCCAGCGATATGCTACATGAAAAGACGTTACATGAAAAGACGTACAGCGGTACATAACGATATGAACTAAAGATCATATGCTAGACTCTACGGAGAATGAGTAGTATGAAAGTATGGATCATTTCTGATTAGATAACCTCGAACGCAACTTGAAGAGAGATACAATCACTAAGAGGGCCAGTGCACACCACGGCCACAGGCGCCTCTGACCTTCCCAGATAGCCGCCGGACTGGCGGCTGCCAGTTGTGGAAGGCCATACAGGCAATGTGCGCCATATATTTCACTCCGAGACGTTAAGGCCTCATCAGTGGAATTCCTGGAAGCCGCGTCGTCGTGGGGCTCCACACTGATGGTGATGTCAGTCTCTATGGCATGTGGCTGGTCGACCGAAGGGACTCCGCAGAGCTCCGAGTACTCTGCAAGGTTGTGAGGAACTGTTGTACATACTTGAAATGGCCAGCATACCTGACAGTCTGGATGGAACAACAAGGGCGACCTCGCGGGAGTGCATTCCCTGATTTGCATCGAGGTGGCATTGCAAGCAAGCTTGCACGGCGGCGGGCGAAGCCACGGAACATGTACAGGCGGCATTCCAATTGCAGTCCTACAAAGAACGGTATATTGTCAGTACGACGTTAAGCTGCCAAAGAAGTCCTTCTCACCTGTGCTTCACGGATGGGTTGACAGATGTTTGTACACTGCAACGAATAGTGAGACAAAACCAAAGATGTTGAACGTGAAACTTTTACTTGTTCGACCAGCGCAGACGATGTGCCACTCCCGCCTCCGCAAGTAGACAGCTCCACGGAGAAGGATGTTGATGGCCTGCTTTCGACACCGCAAAGCGCTGTATATGCATAGTGTGAGTGTCCAAGTAGGTGCGCGCCGGAAGCAACACGTACCACTCCAAGCAAAGACTAGTGATAAGACAAGGCGACCGGGGAACATCGCGCAAGTGGTGAAATTAAGCTTCAGAACAGAAGTTTTTGACACAAAGAGTGGTGATTCGTCGAGTCGCCGACGTTACTGAAGGAAGGGACAGATAGATACTGTACTGTGGACAGTAGCAGGCAAAGAACGGATGGAACGAGCTAAGAGAGCCCATCTTTCAATGCTTAAAGCCACTAGACTAGCCCAAGCCACACAGATCGCGCATGGATCAAAGACAATTGGAACAATAGAGAAGATCTTACGTAAGACGCTGATAGGAGGAGACCAGAAGGCAACTCGATTGATAGAGCCACACGCAAGACAATAAGGCTCGGACATGATCTCGGTGTTATCCAGGTCAGAGCAGCCCTTCTGATGAGGGCACTCTCACCAAACTGCGTCATGCGGAGGACTGGTCTGCGCCCGGGAGCAAATCGCTCCGGAAAGGAGATGTAGAATGATATCGTACCCAGGAAGCGGAGCTCTGTGATCTCTCATGGGCTTGGATCAAGCTATAGCTAGTAGAGGGAACGTGCGAAACAAAGGGTACGCGTCCTTGTCCAACCACGCACAGGTTCATGCTAGGATCACGCCGCGCGAGGTTCTTGGTTGCAACAGTCGACAGAGACGGGATACAATTGGAACATCCGAGACAATCGCAAGGCCGTGCAAACGACAGCCCGTAGTGACAGAGCTGAATAGCAGGTATCGGGAACGCGTGCTGCCACTGTGAAGCGATGTCATCCTTTCGAGATGGGAGGATACTGGGAGGGTGCTGGCAACGGCGAGTGTCACGGTTTGAAGGAGGCGTCAAGAGGAGACTCGATCGAAGCGCACTCGGCAGTTGCCGATAGATATAAAGGGAACGATGAACATGCGCGCGGGAGTTCAGCCTAACCGCCGTTGGACTCTTACTATGCCCGAGCTCTGGGCGTGGATGACTCTGTGTTCTTGCATAGACCGTATGTTCCTTCAATGAACTGTTACGACACGACTGTATGGTCTCAGTTTATCTAGAGCTTCAATGACTCAACGGTATAGCTCGACCCACGGCGTTGTCACCCGGTCAAGCGTTATCCCAGCGTGAGTCTCGCTAAAATCATGACACTCTAACTCGTGCATCGTTCCCATCGTCTTTTGAGACACACCCCGTGCTAGCTTTTTGAAGCTCAGTCACAGTGTCTCCGGCTGGAGCCCCAATGGCGAGTGATCCTCAGCCTTTGATGACGGAATTCTGAACCTTGTACTGGATATACCCTATAAGGCAATCTCATTCTTTTTACATCCCGAAACGAACCCGAGACGTGTCCTTTGGTATTTCTTATTATGGTCTTCCACTTATTGTCGATCCTAAACCATGCAAGCACCTGCATTCCAGCGGGTTCTGGTCCATGCTAACCGGAGTGACTTGTGTGCGCCACAGGCTTCCTTCGCGACCACTAAGGTAGCCATTGTGTTTTGCAGCTGCAGAGTTCTTGTTCTGCAGCACGCGTTATCGGCCTGTTGCCGACTTCTCGCACGCACTGCGCATCATAATATGGTACCAATTGCCCCCATGGCGGATTTCCTAGCTGCATTTCCCCCGTCCTCTATTTCTGTGCCTATTTCGTGCCCTGCGTGTGCCGGAAGCCTTTTCTTATTCGCATCGAACTTGCGATACCTTCTGTCATTTCTCCAGTGCGCTGAGTATGCATGCTGGGCTTCCTGCTGTTTCTTTCGTCTGCGCGGCGTTCTTAATATGTTTTGCGCCGGCACACTGGTCCTCAAGAAGTGTCGCCACGATATGCCTAATCATCTGGCTCGTCGTTTGCAACGTGATACAAGGGGTCAACGGGGTCGTATGGGCTGGAAACACTACTGTCAAAATCCCAGTGTGGTGCGATATAGGTATGCTCGCCTGTCTTTTGCCTACAATCGGACGCGAGTTAAAGGCTTTGGCAGTGACAAAGCTGCTCCTTGGTGCGCGCGTTGCGCTACCAGGGGCAGCACTCTGTTTGTGCTGGCGTATACGCCATTATGCGTTAGGATCTACTGTAGAGCGGGGACGCAGCGTCCTTTCATTTGATTATCTCATGTGTCTCCTCTTGCCTATTGTGTACATGGCGTTCCGTGCGTACTTCACCACTCGTATGCTGCGCAGTCCTGATATCTGATACCCTCAGATATTATTGTGCAAGATTATCGATTTAATCTCACCGAAGACGTCGGCTGCACGCCTTCTGTCTATGCTTCTGTGCCTTCGTTGATTTTGGTCTGGCTACCGCCCTTTCTCCTATCACTTGCAACATTCATGATCACGACTATGATCATATCCCACCAACTCACCACAACCCGCGTATTCTCTGGCGGCTCACATGGACTCATCACGATGGCAGTACTTCGCCCTTTGATTGTATCCTTTATGATTGTTTTGTTCATCACCATTTCTACCGGTTTCTTTATTTACGCCAGCGTCACGACTGTGCCTGGCTTCTCCCCTTGGACATCCTGGGCTTCGGTGCATTATAACCTCTCTCGCGCCAACATCATCCCATTTGCGGATCGTGCTGAGATAGTCAGCATCGAGCTTGCTTGGTGGGTGATCCCGGCATCATCGTTGGTGTTCGTTTCCACGAGTATTCTGGGTTTCGTCTCCAGCTCGCGCGAAGACGCGCTTAGTGGGTATCGCGAGTTGTTCTCTCGTGTCTGTGCCTCGATACATTTCTACGACCATCGTCATCTCCTTCCCAGTCAGTCCGCGAATGTGCAACCACATATGACTCTACGATCAGTCGAGACTCTGGCAGCTGCACAGCTCAAATCCGGCTGGGACGATGACCTTGATGCGAAGCCGTGGAAGAAACGCAGGCCTTCACCCATCTCCATTGTGATTCCTAAAAGTGTTACCACTTCACCTCCTGCGTCAACTGCTTCTTGTGATGCGGATGCGTCGTTTGCGCAGTCGACTTTGACATACCTTCAGTCTCCAACTGGGCGCGACGCGCTCGGCCTCGCCTCACCCCCGCCTTCGAGTTGGAAAGCAGCCAAGCCGCCGTCACCGTTGCTCGAAACACCTGTATCTTCGAATTCGCCGTTGCAGCCACCATCCACGATTCCCGACTCGCTTCCCGCGTCGCCGCCTCACTCTATTCTCTCTGCGCCCTGGCCGCGTCCTCCATCCGCCATCCCAGTTTCCCCTGTTGCGCCCATCGCTGTGCACCCTCCTTCTCCCAAACCCACATATCCCCGCTCTCGCCCACCAAGTATCGCTTCGGTGTCCGCCAGCTTTGCTTCATCGACGGTCAGCACGTCCGCATACGCTCCCGACCCCGCGCTCGTGTTGCACGACTCGCCGACGCTGCCGCACTTCCCGCCCTTCGCCGACTCGGGTATACCTACGATGCGCGTCCCTGGTCAAAGTCTAACTCTGGCAGTTCCGGAGCGCGCACACAAGGTGCGCCGCAAAGACAGACTTCTGACGCGGAACTTGAGCCTCAGCATGCGCGGGCGTGAGAAGACACGCGAGGACGTGGGCGCGATCTACATGACGGTGGTGAAAGAGACGGTTTGAATGCAAGTGCCCCGCGCGAGCGCGAGATTTAATAGACTAGGAAAGTACGAGTTCCACATCCACGTTATTACCAGCGCCCCCGTTCGGGTTGTCCGAACGGGCGTCCGGAGCCCTGTATACCATGTTGATTCCCTCTTAACATTCGATTTCTCAGACTTCCTTTGTAGCATCCTGAAATACCGTACTCTCCCATACCGTACTATGCTTCCGTTCTTCTTGTAGCTACCTCCATCTACTGTATCATACACTCGCCTTTGCGGCCGCACCAGTGATTTGGACAATACGACGCCTGCCATTTATGGGTAGGCGCTTTCTTGATTAGCAACAATCTGTTTGAACTTCGTCTGCAACTTGTCGCCACCGCAGCTTTTACTGTTAACAACTTAAACAACAACTCTGAATGGCTTGTTGCGACATTTGCATGCTATAGCTTGTCTGGATGCACTTGCTATGATGTTATTGTCTAATCTGGACTTCTGGGAATCTCTATGTGCATGGACCGGCCAGCAGCAAGTGGCCCGCATGAAGACGTCACGGAGCCTTATAATGGAATATCCTGTCACATACAATCTAACGACTCGTGGATTTGGATGATTCTGAACACACGACCATACTCACAGACGCCCTGGAACTATTTGGGCCCTTTCTCTTACTATCGTGACCCAGGGACGGCCATAGTTATCAATACTCGCTGAAGAATATGCAGCTGAAAGTTCGAAATTCCATTGCCTAGTGACAAGCCCTACAAGCCCTTCAAGAGCCAAGAATACAACAGTGCACTACAATGCTATCTCTGATGCTCGCCCACTTCTGCTACAATGTACAGAATGTTCCGAATCTACGACCAAAATATGAAAACAGAGCACATGTCCAAAGTCCGTGTTGTGTTGTGTGTAATCGCGAACGAAAATGCCGATAAAGATAGTGCGCGCGGCGCAAGGGCCATGAAAATGATGAAGGAGTGTGCAGTCGACCTAGTGTCGACGAATCATGATGTGAGACGGATATCCATTGACAGCCTGTCTCCTGTGTTGTATATATTAGATGCGCAAGAATACGGCGACTACGTTCAAGAATTACCTGACGAGCGAGACTATGAGAAAGGGTATGTCATGTTATTTTCATGCGATGGTGCAAGACCAGTTGATTGAGTTGTTCTGGTAGTCGAAGTCGACGAGGACTTGAGACGTCTCGGTCTCGTCGGCGGGGACGGGTGCAGCGATGTTAAGGAAGGCGTCCATGAGTGCGATGGGGATGAGGATGAGGATGAAGTTTCGAAGACGAGGTATGCAAGTGAGTCTGGTCGACTAGTTTGTTGTCAATGTCTTGCTCTCGCTCACGTATTTATGCGTTTCTATGGACGCCGTCGGCCACGGCGCGCACAATAACACGGTGCTATCCTTGGCGCGAGGTCCTCCGAGAGTGTTCCTGTGCGCCTTCAGTGTCATTTGCCTCTTCGATGTCATGCATCAAGGCAACGGGGATTATTGTCTTGTGTTGCGCCTTTATTCGGATCGCAAGACTATTGCGCGCTCTCTTGATGTTGATGAGGTACGCTCCTGGCTGCATTGGTGCATGTTGTGCTTCATGACCTCTTTGTGCAGTATGAGATTGCGTACTCAAGTGTGACTCCTTCCCCGTATGCCTGAACGCATGCGCGCAATGAGGCTGGATACCTCAGAGGCTATTGTCTCGAGGTGTTCCGATGTGGAGTTGAGATTGCGGATATAGTGCCCGGTTCCTAGCTATGGGCTGTCAGATCCGATGTACGTGCGCCCCGAGATTTCGTGTATACAAAAGAGAATGTCATCTCTGAGATTGGCGTCCGAACATGTAGGACACGTCCGTGGTCGGTAAAATGATTCCATGTTCGTCCTTGAGAATGCGTTATTGTCAATTGTCAATGCGCTTGGCACGTGTTCGGCGCGCCTGGAAGGATACACATTACTCGGACTCCATCAATCATGGAAATTACATGTGCAGGATTGGAATCATCGCCGGTGCACAGGGGCGGTCTCTTTCGGCTTGATCTCACATTTCACAGGCCTTGTGATGCCGTGCCAATATCAAAGGTGAGTCATTGGGTTTCTTGCATTATTACGAAGATAGGCACCTATAGCATGGTTCCGCCGTGTCGCACTAAAACTAGATGTGACATCCCTGTCGAGAGACTTAGATTCGGGCCACTTGCTCTTGATTACACCTCAAGTGAGTCCCCAAAGCAATTGATTTGTGTCAACTGGAGTTTTTCCAGGACAAATTCATAATATCCGGGCCTGCTACTAACTGTACTTCTTCCCGCTCCAGTCACCCCCTCCGCGTGATCCTCCCATCGAAATGTATAATTTATGCTCGAAGTCCGAACGAAGAAAAAGAGCCACTAGCTGGCTGTCACGCGCAGGTTATGCACGGGGTCGAAGAATGCGAAGGCGTCAATCATATGTGAGTCGTAAATTCAAGTACTGGGGTGTTCTGTGTGTCTGGGACTGTCAACACGACACCTCGGTCAAGACTGGTTTACACCTACCAGATACGCCCTTTGCGGTGTTCACGCGATGGTGCAGGTGGTGTTCGACGCACTGCCGGTGTCATAGTTGGCAGGAACCTGCTCGTTCTCTTCGGCAGGGACAGGGCTGGCGATGGTAAAGAAGGCGTCCATTGAGCGTGATGAGAGCGAGTGAGAGGTGACGAGGGCGGTAAAGGCGAGTCCTTCGACTACGAATGATTCAATGCTGCCCTGGATATTTATGCACTCATGCTGTGAGGACCTCTGTATGGACGTGCATGACAATAAGGATGGTTAAACTGTACGTCGCGCTTCCTGCAGAAGTCGTGCAGCGCTGGGAGGCGAGCTAGAAGATGCTCCTTAGCTGTAATCTGTCGAAAGTGGCGCTCTCCTCGCAATTGTCTTCACCATGCATTTGTTAACCGGAATCTGTAGATGCCAGCTTCTTACCGGCATAGCAAGTCCACACGTGATTGGTACGCGTTGCGCCATGGTGAGATCGGGTTACCTGTCTTGTACTAATATATTACACTGATTGCATGTGCATTCGTGGTGGGACCGGACGAGAACGATCTATTAGTGATCCCAGTTGCTCGGAGTCGTAACTTTCAGTTCTTATTGTTATGTCTCGATCACGTGATCGCGTTCGGAGCTTCAGACATTGCTTTCCCTTCGGATCTTTTCACGGACTCATGCAGACTCATACATGTGCCACTGGGCAGGATCAAAAGCATATTGGATAATTTTTGTCCATGCTGTGACTGAATTTGCTCATTCGACATCATGGAGGACGCGTAGACGAGCGCTGACTTTTGGACATGGTAACACCGCAGCATCAGTGACTTGATCCTGGCCAATACATCGGTGGGGAATCGTTGTGTATAGTATAAACTTGCTCACTGCTGTATTTCCGGGACAGAGATATCGTGACACGCATGTGCCAGGAGGCAGACGATGACGAATCAACCGAAATTTTTCACTCGTTTGCAGATGATTTTGATTGCGTTAGCACGAGCAAGATATCCCAGGATCACAGCTATTCTATTCCTATATTGTCCTGTGCGAAACTGCGCTGTTTATCTGAACACGCCGCCGCTAGATGATATGCGTGAGCACGTTCCACAAGCGGAGTTGGGGCCATCGACTCGAGCCCGCGGATACGCGCGGCTGCGCACAAGTGATGCGTGATAATCTGCCTGTCCGTCATTCCGCTCGTGATTGTAGCAACTCACAGCTGCACAATGAGCTATAATCCCATTCATCGCTGTTTCTGGGCACGCTCACACTCTATACCTGTAGCTCCGCGACGCCCATGCGGCATTCGGACTCGCAGTACGTGGGATACAAGTCACTTCCGTCGGAACAACATATCCCGCTTGAAATCCTCCTGTCTCATATATTGATGATATTCCTTGATTGGGAATGGATGGACTTAGGATGCAAGGAACATTTTTACGTTGGCCCGCTGCAGCGAGGCTGCGGCTGAACGCTGCCGCTCGTCATTTCGAGGATTATCGATCAAGGCTGCGGTATTGGCTCCATCATAGATTAACTATAGTACATGCTAACAGTGCCTCTACGAATTGTTGCGTCGGTTCATTTGAGCAGCGACTGGCAGTGAAGGATACTGCGCCACATGAACCAAAATAGTTGCTCCTTATGGAAGGACAATTACCTGATATGGGACGACCTCACGAGCAATCGGGCTTGAGCGCTCCGAGAGTCTTTACACATACCTCGAAGGCCAACGCGCTGACGCTTGGTCCAGTCGCGTTGTCTGACGGCCAATGAGGCCGATTCATGTTGGGGCCTACAGCTACCAGTGACGCGTGTATCCGACATGTTAAAATAGACCAAGGCAAGCAGCGCCTTGTCCGTATATAAGATAACAATTGAGAGCGCGATCTCCTACGAGCGCGCGTATGTACACAATACAAGACTATACAAGAATTCCGATTCCAGTCCGAGTGTCAGTGCATAGCAAGCGAATGTGCTGCGATGATGCGTGAAGAAAGATCGTGGGTTGCAGCCAGTGCGTGTGGTCCATGAGGTGCGTGCGGCGGTAAGTACGTATCGGGAGGGGAGGGGGGGTTCCGTGCGCAGAGCATCTAGAGAGACGCAGGGGCATTGTTCATGTGACTGGCGTGGCTGGTGAGTTCAACTGAGAAGATGCACAAAGACAGAGACTTACGGAGAGTATCGTCTCGTTCAAGCAATGATACAGCACTGGAGTGAGAGACCCCCGAAGTTGGGGTTGGTGTGCTCTTCGTCAACGGGCACGTCTATGTGCGACATTGGTCCCGATTCCTGGATCGCAGATGCGGAATCGAATTCTGCGCAGGATTGCGCGAGAGGAAACAGAGTAGCGAGTGTATCCATCGTAGATCCGTAAGCGTGAGCGTGAAGCACGAGAATGTGTTGCACGTTATGGAGTGACGAGAACGGAATAGGCTTGAGCGTCGAGATTAGTGAGTGCGATTGCCAGCAAGTCGTCGCAAATTTATAGGACCAATGTGGCCGATTTGGCGTCGTTAAGTACACTGGATGGAGGGGCCCACTATTATATGGGACCCAGGGCGCAGCTGTAGGTCCGGGGACGTCAAAGCGAGTGGATGTAACGTGGAGACGGCGCAGCGGCTCGCCCAATTGTCCTTAAGAATATCCGCGACAGCCACTGTCCGATCATAGCCTATTGAGACATCCGAGGCGTTCGAATGAATCGTTAGGAGGCGTCTTATCCTCTATGCGACGGCGACCATCCCCTCACATGCAAGACAATAGGAAACGTGCCTTGAACGTCGCTTCTGAGAGAATGACATTGGAACATCTCTGAAGAGAAGATATTTGTGGCGTGGCACTTGATGCAGAAATACGGGGAAGATACTATATCAGTCTATATGCGCTCACTCACATCGCGGATAATCGGACACAGTGTACTGCATCTTGACAACAGCTAGGTTTTCTAGGATCAGCTTCAAATATTTTCTTCGGGAAAGTCTCCAATGATGTCCAAAATCGGAGGACAATGCGGAAGGAAGGCATTGGATAAACACTTGCGAGATAACCGTGCGGCAAAGGAAGCCAGAAGCCGCACGCGTACGGTGTTGACTTCTGACTCTGGTGAGCACACGCGCCTACAGGTACTATTGTGAGCAACCGCTTCGTTACGACATATCTGGGATTAGGAAGACATGTGAGATGTCGATATCACTGCGAGTCGGCGTGCGACGCGGCCTAGTAGTTGACATGAATGCCCACCGCTATGCAGTGACTGAATGAGTTCGTGGGCGAGTGACTTGAGGTGCATTGCAAGAAAGATAATACAGGCTTGGCAAAAGTGAGCCTTTGCACGCCTCGGAATGCCTAGGACGCGCGGCCCGAGTTTGCCAGGACGGACAACGAAGAGAGCACTTTGGCGCCCATGCAAAGACAATAGAGATGCATCGGTAAATGCCGACTACATATGGCGACAGCTTTCATCTGGCCTTCACGCTTGTTTCAGAGCACCCTCCCCTCTTCCCCCCACCATGTCTATGGTTGTGTTGACGCCATTTCTGAAGTCTTATGGACATTTTTGCTGACAGGGGGCACAGACCACCCGTAAGCACCCGTAAGTATAATACCATCGTCGGTGTTGTGGTATGGCCGGATTCGGTGGTGCCGCTTTCCTTGTTTAGACAAACATCCACCTCTGCCGCTGGGGTCCTTAGATATTGTCTTGGTGAGTAATATCCTTGTATAGCGCGTCCTCAATCACTGACTCGCCCGACGCAGTGCTATCAGTAAAATGACATGTGTCGATTCCTTGTATTCGTTATCTGTGCCATCTACTCTACGTCTCGTACGTATACTGTTTCGGCATCTTCTGATGATCCAAATGTGATGTCAACCTGAAGCTTGATGTAAGCGCTGTATCATCGCTCACTTTTCCTGTCTGTTCAAAGTGTCCTGTGCCTTTCTTGGGGGTAAGTTTGTATCACCTGCGGCTGGATGCTATTCGTGTTTTCGGGCTAATCCGCTCTAGCCCTTGGACCATGTGCCTTGCATGTCGTCGATTTCTTTTCTGTTGAGAGTGCATAAGGGGATAGCCTAAATAGGCAACTCATTCTGAATCTATCACGTACTGCTGCTACGCGAATACAAGCTACTGACCAAATACAGTCGTCGGTGACAGGATGTCTGCGGTACCCAGCGGTTCCTATAATTTCATGGCCTTCTCACAGTGGATGTCCCTCGCTCCCCTAGCCAATCCTCCTTCCTCTTCCTGGGCGATCTAGCTGTCCTTCTCTCGTGCTGTCTTCCGTCGATCCGTTTGTGGCTTGATCATCTGGTCTTCTCAGCGACATGTCTGAACCTTGGACAACGCCGATCGCTGTCACTACGGGCTTTTCCTTTGTAGGGTTTCTGCTAGTCAGTGTTCCGCTGTATTGGCATTTGGAAGGTTTGCATTTCATTTCTGTGCCGCGCGTCTGCGAATAATACTCAAAATGACTCAGCATGGAATGTGGGATGTGTTTTGTACATCTTCTGGAGTGGCACCGGATGTCTTATTCAGTTCATCAACATGGTGGTCTGGCAAGACAATGTCATCAATTGGGTACCCGTCTGGTGTGATATCAGTGAGTGATTAGTATGGGGTGTGTATATCCATCATTAACGCGCATTTAGCCTCTAGATGGCGCTATGCAGCAGCTATTGGAATCTGCACTGCGTCTCTGGTCATTAACCGCCGGCTTTACAAGATTGCGAGTGTCTCTGTCGTGTCGATAAGCAAGGCAGATAAGCGTCGCATGATGTATGTCGATTTAGCTATCGGCCTGGTTCCGCCCATTGTGGTGGTTGCCCTATGTGAGTGTCATCTATGTCAAGGCCGGAAAGTGTAGTCTAATATGTCTTACCCAGATTGGTTCATCGAGGGTCACCGCTTCAATATATATGAGGGATTTGGTTGTATGTTCGTGTTCCCGGCCACCATCCTCTCATACTTCTTGTACCAATTGTGGCCAATCGTTATTGGTCTGATCGCGGCCTATTACTGTGGTGAGCATTAACTTTGACCTAATTCCCAGACTGCATAATCACGTTGGCGTTATAGTTAGAACGCTTATTGCTTTTGTCAAACGAAGAAGGCAGTTCCGTGAACTCATAAGTTCGAATTCAAACTTGACATACCACCGATACCTCCGTCTGATGGGGCTGGCCACCATCGAGATATTGTGCACTGTCCCAATGGGAATCTGGGTTGTCGTAAACAATGCTCGCAACACCCTCTATGTGTGGCATGGACTGGCCAACGTGCATTACGACTTCTCCCGCGTAGACCAATATCCTTCAATCATATGGTGGACCGACTCCCTCTTGCGACCCAGCATTTTGACGAGCATGTGGGACATGATCGTGTGTTCATTGGTCTTCTTTGCATTCTTTGGACTTGCCGAGGAGGCACGGAAACACTACCGTGCTACGTTCACATATATCACCAAGCGCCTCGGATTATCAACACTGTCGCTTTCGAGCGCTGGGACAGAGGGACAGTCTGGGTGCGTTTTCCTTGCCATAATGAAAGTGTCTGATCGTGATGAGCTGTGCGTGTTTCCAGATACAACGCGTCTAAACTCCCCTCATCTGCCCTCCCCCACATCACCATCCCTTCCTTTGTGCAGCCTGGTCAGCCAAGCAGCTCCGGAGACTCGTTCTCCGATAGGTTATCTTCTTCTATCCCCTTCGATGACGAGATTCCTCGTTACGACGAGAAGACCCACTATGCGATGTCCCCGGAGTCCGACGGTGCTAGCACCTGCATCCCGTCACCCATGTCCCCGGAAGATGTGGAAGCACAATACGAGGCGATGGTGCTTCCCGCTTTCCCGGAGCCGACCTATGACGCTATGCAACCCCCGCCCCACACGTCCTCGCCAGTGCACTCGGATTCATCGGACATGGTTTGATGCCTACTAGCTGACTACCGTGTCTGCTGTCAAAGAGGACCCTCTGACCCGCGCTCTGTATATTTTCACCTGCTTTCTGAACACCTTCCTTCGTTCATTGACGTCAATCATTGTCTCTACTGTATTGATAGTATATCCCGGTTGCTGTTTGTCTTTCGACTCAGCACCACAGCTTCACTCCTTCCTTTATCCATATTCGTATGTATTGCGATGTTAACCGTACATAGTGCGTTCATTTGACTAGGGAAAACTTGTAGCATATCTGGGATACTGAAAATAGACTTCTTGGACACTGAGATACATGATACTGTCGAGTCACTGGCGCCGTTTATACTGCGTTGGGAGAACGTCGTTGGAGATGGGTGATGGAAACTAGTGTAGGTCGGCCACTTGAAGCTATGCAGAGAGAGCTGAGAACGAGCTTGTGAAATACAATATACTATCTCGTAATTTTGTGGGATAGTGTGTGAAAGATTTTCGACATCGAGGGACAAAAGTCATCGTACCCGGAAAATGTAGTGTGTGAGCCGTCGAAGGGAGACGCATGCGAGTGGATTTATCATCTCTCCGCAACCCGCATGAGAAAGGTGGTGTTGTAAATCAGAGATGGCCCGTATGGGAGCACGGAGTGCGGAGCCAGCGGCGCCGTCCATAGTAAGTACGTGCCAGTGGAGGAGATAAAGCGTCGACGCCCACCGGCAGACGCTGCGTAGGGCCTTCCGTGACCTTCCACCATCATCCCCTTAAGTGCAGCGGCCCTCCGTCGTTTTCAGGCCAGCCCACTATTCCACGATGTCTCTGAGCGTCACTCCCTCGCGGTCCTCGCAAGACGTCGAGAAGAAGGATCCAGCCGATTTCGCGGAGGTTCCCACCAAAGCCCTGCAAGATTCGACCGAAGACGAGCTCTTTGAAGACGGCTCGGTCGACGCCGTTTATCAGGCAAAAGCACGAATTCTCAACCATGCGATAAAGGAAATAGGCATGGGGAGGTACCAGGCGAGTGAATTGTGCAGGTCGAAAGTGATCGACGCTGATCTCGGCTCAGTGGTATCTCTTCGTGGTCGCTGGGTTTGGCTGGTTCTCGTACGTCCACAGCTACTTCTTCCGAAATTATGCCTCTCAGACCCCTTCCGACCCCGCTGCACAGTGATAGTGTCTGGCCAGTAAGTAATGTTTAATTCGTTCTTATATGCTATCTCAACCATTTGCATCGTTCCTCAGCTGATCGGTGGGCTTATTCTAAACCCGGTCGTGAGCGAATTCGAGTTCCAGAGTGAATTTTTGTCTCTGGCGCTGAATATCGGGCTTTTCGTTGGCGCTGTATTTTGGGCGTTGGGATGTGACATCTGGGGGAGGCGGTGAGTGTATAAGCACTTGTTTCGATCGATCATGTCCTCATTTTGCTCAGCTTATCCTTCAATTTCACACTCCTGATCGCCGGTGTCTTTGGTCTGGCTGCCGGTGGCTCTAACAGCTTCATCACTCTCGCGTCACTGCTTGCAGTCGTTGGCTTCGGTGTAGGAGGAAACATGCCAGTAGACTCTGCTGTATTCCTAGGTATGTGTATACTCCTTGATTTCCCTGGTCTCGCCTTCTCATGCATACAACAGACTTCGTACCGGGCAGCCATCAGTACCTACTCACCATTCTCTCGATTTGGTGGTCTGTTGGACAGCTTGTAGCCAGCTTCGTGAGTCCTCTCATCAATATCATTGTTTTTATCTAACGTTCGACAGATCGCTTGGCCTCTCATATCCAACTTGTCCTGCCCCGAGAATGCCACTGTTTGTACGCGCTCTGAAAACATGGGCTGGCGATACCTTCTCTTCACCCTCGGTGGAATGACACTCCTGCTCTGGGCTATACGCTTCTTCGCCTTCCGTTTGGAAGAGAGTCCCCGCTTCCTTGTAGGCCTCGGACGCGACGCAGAGGCTGGGGGGGGGGGT